AACTACTTATTAAAACAGTTGTATGTAGAAGCTTACTGTAGGTTTGTCATTAACAACATTTAAACATGAGGGTCCATCCATAAATGCAGAATGATTGATTTACTCTGTTACTGCAGTAATTCAGAGAACAAATCTTTGTAAACTTTTGTAAAAGAGAAGGATCCATTTTATTGTTTTTAGTTTTCTGAATTGTAACTGATTGTAGGTAGACTACGCCAAATACTCTCAATGCCTTGCAGCCCCTTAAATTCACCCAACACTCCTTGTGATATTTTGATTTTTCCTTCATCACACTTCCTCGGACATTTCTAATAACCTGACATAAAAGTTTTTTTAAAGACAGACAAGAAAATCATACTGTAGTGTAATAAAAATACCTTTTTTCTTTCTCCCCATTTCCTCCCTTTTCATCAGATGTTATCCTCTGAAGGGAGATGGATCAACAACATCAAAAAGAAATGAAAGGCACCCTTTTGATTTTAACTCATTTCTGTAATTTTTGAGCTGGAGATGTATGTGCAGCTCTCCCTTTATTTTTTGTTTTGCTTTTATGTCAGGGGTGGTGTTGGCGTTTGATCTCTGAGGTGGAGAAATTACAGACATTCTCAGTGATAGTGAGGGAGAGGTACAGAGACGTGGCTCTACCCTCATTAAAATTAATGAGCAGAAATACTCTGTGGTGTTTTAAAGCTAAAGGGACGCTCTAAACCCTTATTTACACATCAGAATCGGTGGGAGGAAGCTGAAGCTGACTTTCAGCTGGATCATATAAACCCGTCTTTTATAATGACATCTGTTTTATTGATTATCTGGTTGCCCTGTTTGCTTCACTCATATCCAATTTAAAAGACATAACTTAGCTGCAAAACCTGACCTTGTTTCTTTAGTACATGTATGAGTGCAGCCCTGTTACGCAATATTATGCTGCATTTAAAATGAAATATTAGTGCTGCTGGGAAATCCTCAAAGAAAGAGTTAAGATTAAAGGCTGTTAAAAGCTTCAGAGGACTGAGAGGACAGACCCAGCTGGATGCAGCATTAACCTACTAACGGTACATGACTTTTTTTAGTCATGCTTCTTTGCTTGCAGAGGGATTAGAGCTAAATGAAATGAGCTTTTTGTGATCTTTACTTTAAGGAGGATTCTTGGTGTTTGAAGAGGCATGGTCACGTTATATGGCCATCCAAAAACACCAAAAACCATTCTATGATGATAAAACCAGGTTATACAGGTGCTGGTCATAAAATTAGAATATCATGAAAAAGTAGATTGATTTCAGTAATTCCATTTAAAAAGTGAAACTTGTATATTATATTCATACATTACATACAAACTCATATATTTCAGATGTTTATTTTGTTTAATTTTGATGATTACAAATGACAACAAATGAAAATCTCAAATTCATCATATCAGAAAATTAGAATATTGTGAAAAGGTTCAAAATTGATGGCCCCTGGTGCCACACTCTAATCAGCTAATTAACTCAAACCACCTGCAAAAGCCTTTAAATGGTCTTTCAGTCTAGTTCTATAGGCTACACAATCATGGGGAAGACTGCTGACTTGACAGTTGTCCAAAAGACGACCATCGACACCTTGCACAAGGAGGGCAAGACACAAAAGGTCATCGCTAAAGAGGCTGGCTGTTCACAGAGCTCAGTGTCCAAGCACATTAATAGAGAGGCGAAGGGAAGGGAAAGATGTGGTCGAAAAAAGTGTACAAGCAAGAGAGATAACCGCACCCTGGAGAGGATTGTGAAACAAAACCCATTCAAAAATGTGGGGGAGATTCACAAAGAGTGGACTGCAGCTGGAGTGAGTGCTTCAAGAACCACCACACACAGACGTATGAAAGACATGGGTTTCTGCTGTCGCATTCCTTGTGTCAAGCCACTCTTGAACCACAGACAGCGTCAGAAGCGTCTTGCCTGGGCTAAAGAGAAACAGGACTGGACTGCTGGTGAGTGGTCCAAAGTCATGTTCTCTGATGAAAGTAAATTTTGCATTTCCTTTGGAAATCAAGGTCCCAGAGTCTGGAGGAAAAGAAGAGAGGCACTTCATCCACGTTGCTTGAAGTCCAGTGTAAAGTTTCCACAGTCAGTGATGGTTTGGGGTGCCATGTCATCTGCTGGTGTTGGTCCATTGTGTTTTCTGAGGTCCAGGGTCAACGCAGCCACATACCAGGAAGTTTTAGAGCACTTCATGCTTCCTGCAGCTGACCAACTTTTTGGAGATGCAGATTTCATTTTCCAACAGGACTTGGCACCTGCACACAGTGCCAAAGCTACCAGTACCTGGTTGAAGGACCATGGTATCCCTGTTCTTAATTGGCCAGCAAACTCTCCTGACCTTAACCCCATAGAAAATCTATGGGGTATTGTGAAGAAGAAGATGCAATACACCAGACCCAACAATTCAGAAGAGCTAAAAGCCACTATTAGAGCAACCTGGGCTATCATAACACCTGAGCAGTGCCACAGACTGATCGACTCCATGCCACGCCGCATTGCTGCAGTAATACAGGCCAAAGGAGGCCCAACTAAATACTGAGTGCTGTACATGCTCATACTTTTCATGTTCATACTTTTCAGTTGGCCAACATTTCTATGAATCCTTTGTTTTTATTGGTCTTCAGTAATATTCTAATTTTCTGATATGATGAATTTGAGATTTTCATTTGTTGTCATTTGTATTCATCAAAATTAAACAAAATAAACATCTGAAATATATGAGTTTGTATGTAATGTATGAATATAATATACAAGTTTCACTTTTTAAATGGAATTACTGAAATCAATCTACTTTTTCATGATATTCTAATTTTATGACCATCACCTGTATATAGCAGGCATCCGTCCTGATATCGTTTTGATCAGCATATTTGAGGCTTAATAGAATTCCAGCACTGGTCTGAATAAGCAAGCATAAACAGATGTGTGCGCCACCTGCTGGCAATAGGTGATAATCAACACGGCTACTTAACAGAATCCGACTGTCAGCGTGGTTCAAAACCATGAACCAATATTAATAAAATAAACCAATTTAAACCATTTAACTCCTAAATTCAGACCCTCCAATCAGATCATAAAAAGAAATTCCCATTCCCAACAAGTGCAAACAGGAAGATCAAGGTGAGAAACATTTTGATTAACTCAATCATAAGAAAGACATAGATTGAAACCTTTTCATTGAAATTGAGAAAAATTTAAATATTAAGTACGTTGTTGTGTAATCGTCTGGATTTTAGTTGTAACAGAACCCCAACCCCTCATTCTGTTTATTTTAATGAATTTATTAATCAATATAAATTGACAGTTTTTACACTATAGAGACATGGAATAGCTTTTTTTTTTATTTATGTATTTAACCTTGACTTTAGACTTTTTAAAATTATTTTTAGAAACTCGCTCGGAGTTGCTGACCTGCTTAGTCCATCACTTCCTGGGTTACACTCGTGGAGTTTGTTTATAGATAACGGAGTATAAAAAGGCATAACACACAAAAACCTCAAAAAAATTATACACCAGCGGGACCCGTAATTCTTTAGAAACCTTTATATATAATCAGAGTGAGGTGCACTGCAAAAACATTCTGAAAAATCAGTAAAGATTTATTAAGATAAGTGTGTTTACCCTTAATTTGAGTAGAACAATAAGATGATTAGCAAATGGAATGAGCATGTTTACCCTTAAAATAATTGGATATTATGTACTTGAAATAAGACTATAGTTTTTTTTTTCTTCTCATTTTAAATTTGAATTGTCTAATTCCTTTGGCAAAGGAATAAGACACCTGCTTAATTAAATAAAAAAAATTTTTCCATTGTACATTTTTTTAAAAGTCAGTGTTTATGCCTCATTAAGCGTAAACAGGCAGGTAATGATCAGAAAAATGGGTTTCTATGCAGTTTAGAAAAGTAAGGAAAATAATTTGTCCTTTGTTCCTTTCTTTCCTTCTTTCATTCAGTCCTTTTCTCAACCCTTGATACTTCTTTTTTTCTTTCAACCATTTATTCCATCCTCTGTTCAGTTTCCTTTCTTTTTCAGTCAGTCTTTCTGAGTCTAAAAGGGTGTTTTATCGTTTGAAATGTTTTTGAAATTTCCTTTCTCCTGTTTGGCAATGATGCATGTTCTACCAGTGAGCAAGTAAAATCAGATTAACTTTTTAACTAAAGTTTTGCCTTTTTTCTTATGTTCTTCTAATAAAACAACTTGCAGAAGTTTCCTTTAATGTGCAAAGCATGCGGTGATTAAAGAATTTGAAGGAGTGCAATCCACTATAAGCTTGAAAGACAAAAGTTGTGATGAGCCACAAAAATCCAGCTGCAATCAATTTCATGACTAACGCAGCTCCTCCTCCTTAGTAGAGGCTTTGCTAGTTTACCCTGAGAGGACTGTCCTTCAATGTGTAGTCTTATATTACCATCATTAACAGACAAAACAAAAATTATCACCAAAATTATTGTAACAAAAAATACTTTTATCAGTTTTTATTTTTTATTGTGCCACTTTACACAGTTTAGAAGATTATAGACCTATGTAAAGGAGAGAATGTGACTTTTTGTTGGGCTTTTCCTTCATCTCTCTCTTCAAAGATCTAAGGTTATTCAAGATGGAAGCAGTGTGAGTCTAATTAAAGAATTTTTTTAAATCATTTTTAGGGATTTTGTTTGAAAGATAAAGAATCTTCTCAGCTTCAGGTCGGTGTCCCTTAAAGATGAACATTGTGTCAGTGCAGAAATGAATGTAAATATTATTACACTGCTAAAGATCAGTTACTTTGATTCTTAAGTTCAGCTTTATTTTGAATGTTTTTTTTTAATTCCTCTGCAGTCGCATGCTGTGTTTTAGAAGTGCTGCTACTAAAGGATTAGCTGATTGATAAAAAAAAAACAAAAAAATCAATGGGAAATCATTTTAAATATTATTAAGCTTTGGCTCTATGATTAATAAACATTTCTAGCTAATATTTCATGTGTTTTTTTAATGATTCTACAGATTGTGGCCTTACGAGAGCAAAATGCTCACCTTCAGAGGAAAGTTGCATCTGGTGAAGGAGGAGATGACCTACTGGAGGGAAGTGAAGCTCAACAAAAGATTCACGGCAAGGTGAGCATCAGCATCTTTAAGGATCCTGCCTTCACTCACTGGGGAAAAAATGCTTCACAATTGAACTGGTCATACCTCAAATATTTAAAAATTCATAAAAATTAACTATTGGAAGAAAAAAAATCACAAATTTAAGGGAGAATTAAAGTAATGAGATTTTCCTGAGTAGGTGAATCTTTGCTCCAGCGTAGATGAAGCCTCGGAGGTTTGAGCTGTCAATCATCTAACCATGAAGTTGTAGAGGGAAAATTCAACCAGCATGGATATAAAACTTACCTATATTTTTCTTTCTAAACTGATTTGACTGACTTACTCATATTTCATTATTACTTCAGAGACAAAAGTCTGTTTGCCGCCTAATTTGAATTTGGAATATTCAAAACAGAGAAGAATTGACACTGTAGAAATCATAAACCAAACCTAAAATGCAACACGTCTGATCGTCTTGCCAAATGTTTAATATTTTATTATTTTAATAGCATCCTTCAACATCAGATTTTGTCATGATAGAGGAGAACACGTCTCTGTCTGAGAGCCTTCAGATCCTTTCCAGCTCACCATTCAGACTGAATGTAAAATGAAACCGGAGTTTGTGCAGATATGCACGAATCAAAACAAGCAATTTCTTGGAATTTCCTTCAGCGGATCAAACGATGACAATCTCTATTAATCTAATGCAGCGCCATAATGACCTGTGTCCAGATGCATGTTTCCCAGAGATCTACGTGAAAAGGTCCTGTTGTCCTTGGATAGCATCTACTGTTAAAGCCACAGGTTAAACCTCTTTTAAATTATTTTGGAATAAAATTGTAATGTGTTTGACAATATGATAATCTTGAAAGGCCTAAACAAAAGCGCTTTCCTCCTGTATGTAGAAACCCAGGCCGCTTATAGGCTCTGTTCTGTTTAAATGTAATAATAATCCAGAAATTATTGTAATCAATGGAGAAATTCAGAGCACAGCCACAAAAATATTTTCTATTTCAGAATATAAAGAGATTTCTTTGGATTTTTCCAAATCCAATTGTAACCCTCAAAATAAACAGAAGAAAAACTTTAAGAATAGAATAGAATTCAACTTTATTGTCTTTAAACTGTCACAAGTACAAAGCATGAAATGCAGTTTGCATTTATCCAGACGTGCTATAGAGGATATAAATATGTATTTACATTACATATGTACAGAAACTATCTATGTATTGACTATAAATTGTACATATAAACAGAGAGGCTGTAAAGTAAATACATATGGAAGCTATATACAGATTAGACAGGAAAGTCAGGATATGGATAAAATATATTAGTGGGTTTATAATGCAGGACAAATATCGATAGATAATAGCAGATAAAAGATTTACAGATTATATACAGCTATAGTTTAGAAGTGCGTGTAAGTGATGTTGGATCAGTGGGTTGTTGTGTGTGTGATGTCCTTGATGGCAGGGAGCGGTGCTCCAGCAATGCACTGGGCAGTTTTCATCACCCTCTGCAAAGCCGTGCGCTACGAGGCAGAGCACCATGGAGGATGCTCTCCATGGTGCAGCGGTAGAAGTTTGTGAGGATCTCTGGGGACAGATGGTTCTTCCTCAGGGTCCTCGTGAAGAAGAGTCTCTGGTGCACCTTCTTGATGAGTTTGGAACAGCTGGTTCATCCAGGTCAGGTCCTTGGAGATGTGAACTCCCAGGAACTTAAAGCTGTCCACACGCTCCACTGCCATCCCCTTGATGTGAAAGGGTGGATGTGGGTCAGCGTTCCTCCCTGATTTCCTTGGTCTTTTCGGTGTTCAGCTGCAGGTTGTTTGTGTCGCACCACTTAGCCTGACGAACGGTTTCATTGTTAAAATCATCTTAGACCAATCAAGCTGGATTAACTCTTAATTGCACAATAAATACTTCATGATAAAAACTTTTCTTCTGTTAAATTTTTTTGGGGGACGTTTTTTAGGATTTGGAAAATCTTAAACCTGAGCATTTAAAATCTGGAGTATTAATTTAAAAACTTGTCGCTGCATATCGGTTCTCCTCACCCTAAGAATTCTGTTTCATATCTTTGGCATCAGAATTCCAAACCTTATATCTGATGCTGGGAAATATTTACATGCAGCCAGCCAGCTGGATACTCTGGCAGATCAATGGAAATTCTATTACCTGGCCGGTCTCTCACAGACTGCAGCTCGGGGGAGGAGTTGGTATTGGGTGGGTGTGAAGAGCAGAGATGAAGAGCATGCATGCTGAGGCATGAGGTAATGAGCAGACTGCTATCATCTTCTCTGTTTTGTAGAGATAAAAGGAAGGAATATAAATGCAGGCTGTTTTCTGCATGTTAATGTTTGGGTGCGTGTTTGTCATACGATACAGTGAAGTCAAAGTTGTAACCTTGCAGTGATGCAGAGGTTTAGTCATTCCCCGTCACTGCAGTCACAAGGACTGACAGAGACTCTGCTGCAAACACTATTAGCTGAGAGTGACAGCCTGTCCTGTGATGTTGGCTAGACAAGGCTGTGGCCTTAATGTGACGGCGGGGGATCGAGGTCAAGGGCAGGGAAGGCTTAAACTCTCCATCTTTATTGTAGTTTTTTCTAAATCATTTAGTAAATAATAAAATAAGCTTTAATCGGAAATAATGAAGTACATAAAAGTGAAATTACAACCTATTCATGTACTTTTACACACTTTCCACCCACGCATCATTTCATTTCTGCCAGTTTGATCAAATGCTGCCAAACCCTTTGACATATTTACTTTGGAGTTATAGAATGTTGTAAATTTGTCCTCAGAAATTAAATTTTCCTACTTCAAAATCATACATTTCAGCACGAAACACTCCTAAGTCGGTATTACAAGTTAGAAAAGTTGGTTCCACAGGATGGTAGCCCACTTCTGCATGCAAAACTGATGCTACTCTCATCAACAGCAGTTAAACTCTCCTGCTTTGACCTTTTGAATGAGGTCTTTATGTTTGTGGCATAAGGTCAGCCTTTCAGGGGCTACTAGAGGTTCTAGAAGCAGGAAATTATAATAGAACGCACCATTTTCTCAACACCAGCAATGGTCACCTATCTCGTTAAGATTCATCCCTCAGGGTTGAATATTTTTCTTAAAGGACTGACTGGTTTAATCGGGTGAAGAACTCAGCGGTGGCTGTGTGGAAACCTTTGGAAACTTTGCGATCTCCCCTCAGCCACACGTTCCCCTCTGGAGAATGTTGTGGTAAATGCAGCATAATTGTGCTAAAATATTGTGTATTCACTGATTAAAGATAAAAACCAGAATAATCAGGTGGTGATCTGTCAGGCCCAGTGGAAAAATTAAATAAACTATTTCTGCTCTTTTGTTGTGTCACATTCAATTTGTGAATAAAAAAGCTGGCACATTCAGTGGCATCAGCTGTGATTCTCTTTTTGTAAACTAAATGTTATATATAATTTGAAAACCAATGACCAAGACTATAAAGTAGGAAGGAATGGACATAAAATCAAATGTTGAAAATCTAATGTGAACATTCTGATGATTTCCCCAGACTGTCGGTCATTTGCTGGTGTTTCGTTAAGTCTAAAACTGATTCAGAACATTCAGTTTTTTGTGGTTCCCACTGCTAAGGAGCTTTATGAAGATATTATGCTTTTCTAGCAAGAAGTGTTTGATAAAACACCAAATTGCCCTCAGCTAAAACACCCAAAAATGTACTTTTAAGAGCAAGATGAGACAAAAATGGAAATAAGCAGAAGGCTGCTATTAAATCAAACTAAACCTTCTTAAAACCTCAGTGAAAGGAGCCTTGATCAAGCATTGCAGTAGGATCCAATTTAGACTGATACTCATTTAATCAATCATTTGCAATATTCAAATAAATCTATAAAGCTTTCAGATTTTAATTGAAGAACTTTCCATAATTTCTTATCAAGGTGTCCTTTTTATGCTGGTTTCAGAACAATTCACCAATTAGATTTTACTTTAGAATCTTAGTTTTTTGTTTTGTAAATCTTATTTTACTAACAATAATTTAAAAAAAGTTTAAATCACACATTTCTTTAACACAAAAAAAGCTAGATTTTTTTTTTCTTTCTTTTTTTTTTTTACTTTAAAGCCAAATCAACAGTCTGTCCTTCTCTTTCTTGGTAAAATTGGTAAAATGATGAGCTGCTAATGGGTCAGCTCCTGGACAACTTTCAATAATTAATATATTTAAGGAGAAGTTGATGCATAGAAAATAGAAAACTTTTTCCAGTTGGTGCCTTTAAATTAATTCATGCTTTAGGACTTGTCATCATTAAAGATAAAAAGAGAAAATGCTCTCTTGCCTAACTAAGGCTGAGAGAGGACAATTACAGGCTATATGGGAAGTTTTTCCTTTACTATTTTTACCTTGTTAATGTCATATCTCCCTCAAGCGCCTGTCAAATGGCTCTCTGGAATCGGCCCGTGAGGCGAGCCAGGTGGTGGAGCTGCAGGATCTGCTGGAGAAGCAGAATTACGAGCTGGCCCAGATGAAGGAGCGCATGTCCTCGCTCTCTTCCCGGGTCTCCGAGGTGGAGCAGGAATTGGAGACTGCCCGCAAGGACCTCATCAAGTCAGAGGAGATGAACAATAAATACCAGAGGGACATCAAAGAAGTAACGGCACAAACTCATGCATGAACATCTTATATATGCATAAAGGGAAAAGCATGCACATTCTTGATGGAAACTACCATATCCATACAGTTCAAGTTGAATATATTATTCCCTAATAAACATGGACATTTTCTTTCCTAACTCTTAACTAATGTTTAATTTAACAGTTTCTGCTTTGGTTAAGTTTTACTGGCATGATTCTTTTTGCAAAACATCAAAATATATATTTTTTGTTTATCCTTTTTGTGTGTTTTCACTGTGGCTACACTTGAACTTTAGTTTCAGCAAGCCAAAAGGGCATGTCTCTAAATTGAACTTTATATTTCTATTGAAGTGGTGGCTTCCTCCTTACTGAGTGGCCTTTCCTGAATAGTATGATAGTTTGACATTCTCTTTCTACTTTTAAATGACTATATTTTGGATTTGGTGACTCTTGCAAATTCAGGCATTATACAGTAAGAGTTGTATCTAAACAATAGACCAAGTTTTAGGACGTCCAAGGTTCTCCACCTAAAATATCTAGGCACATTTATTATTTTTTTTATTGCAAATGTTGTTACACCCAGATTATTTTTTTAATTGCATCCAAAGATGTGCTTCAAATAAACTAAAGTCATGTTAGAATGGATAAGAATAGAATAATTAAATTTCATTATTTAAAGAAGTAAATAAAAACGCTCTAAAACATCTATTTATTATGTTATTTGTCAAATAGGATGATGCTCATTCTGCAGTAAATTGCCTAAAACAGAGAACAATCTTAGAGTGAGAGATTGTATGTTAACATCTTGTTTTAGTTGTATTTTTACTCCTTTTTCCGTACATAGAGAAAAAAATGTGCAATATTGTCTCTTGTAATGCCTTACATGCTGACATGTAAATATTCAGTTCGCTGCAAGACATAAAAAAAAGCCGTATCAAGGAAAAAAGTCCTCCAATAGCTGATCTGCATTCACAGCTGTGACCCGTTGATTTGTTACCCCTCCCTATGTGTAAAGGCTGATAACCCCTTAGACCACAACTGAAATGACTATTGATTGCTAACAATGCAGGTAGAGGCATTTTTTATAGCCTTATAGTGAAGACAGCACGTTATCACCCTTATTTGACATCTCAGAGAGCAGCTATACTGTATCTAAGAAGTGTTTCATGTGTTTCTCAGCTAGAAGCTCTTTTTTTTTTGTCTCCTTCAGCTTTGTGTGAAAGAAATAAACTCCCTCAGTTTTTATGATCGTGCTTTGTAGCAGAAATCTGTTGCAGTTAAGATGAAATTTGTGACTTTCGGTCTTCAAAACTATTGTTAGTGTCACTTGCTTTGTGTTTAGGTCATACGTCTTTGTCAGGTTTTCCTTGGTTAAATTAAAACTTTACTTTTAGAAACAATGGAAATTGTTGCTTAAAGATTCTTTTATTTTAATTAAAAGTAAACATTTAAAGGGTATTTATGTTAATTCTATATATTTAAAATGCATAAGTAAGAGTTGCAGATTATAACTTATATGGAAAGTAAGAACCGGGTTCTTTATTGGCCTTATTCATTGTGGTGTTCAGGTCATGTGCCAGAAGGAGGACATGGAGGAACGCATCGTCACTCTGGAGAAACGCTACCTGAGCGCCCAGCGGGAGGCTACATCTGTGCACGACATCAACGACAAACTGGAGAATGAGTTGGCCAATAAAGAAGCATTCCTCAGACAGGTATGTAAGAACCGCTGAAGATAAGTCAGGCTAATAATTATAGTGGCTCACTGGTTTCACTGGTCGGACATCTTGAAACTTTCTTTTGAGGTTTTACCATTTTAGTCTCTTTTCATTTTCAAACTATTAAAACAATGTTGAAATGTATTCACACTTTTTTTGTTTAAATAACTGAGAAAAGTTTTAGAATTGGAATTTTCCAGATATGAGTGTTAAAAAGTGTTTTTTTTTCTTCAGATTTTATCTTCTTTTCTATTATTTCAATCCATCGTTTTAGCTTTTTATTTTTAGTTTCTATATTGAATGTGAAAATATTTGCCATAAAAGTCATTTTAAACTTTAATGTTTAAAATTAGCAGAAGGAGAATTAGAACTGATAGCTACTGACCTGCTGCCATTCGCTAAAAACATTATGCCTTTTTTAGAAGCACTGGTAAACTCAAGTAAAGTAAACTTAAAGGATGCAAAACAAGTCATACAAATGCTGTTAGAAATAATCCAAAAGACTTAAGTTCCTTTTTGGAATAGGGCTGCAAGGATTTGATATCTATAATAATCTGACAGCATTCATGTTTTCAGTTATTGCATTTTTTTTCTTCCAGTTTTCTTTTCTTAAAATTCTTAATGTAACAAAAGTTGGAACATTTCTCTTTAAAGTTGCTGTTTGCACAGTAAGTCTTCTCTGTAATCCAGAGGAGTGCGTGCATATTTCTGATTATAGATCAAATTAATAAAGAATGAGCCAGGTTATTAAAATATTTCAGTTTTCAAAGGCAAAAGTAATCTAAACAGTTCAAGTTAGGTGCCAATAATTGGAAAATTCATTGAACAATAAAGCAGTAGAGCATTTACAAAATATTTTCTGTTTTTTACTTTTGAATACAGTCTGTTAGACATTTTGACTGTCTGCTTTTCCTGTTGTTCCTGATTGTTTAGCGTCGAGTCACTATTTGTTACGTGCAAAGTTTTTGCAGAAGCCCAAATTAACTTTCTCCCGTTTTAACCACATTTAATTGGGTAATTATTGTGACTATCTAAATCCAATTTCATCTAACAGTTAATTTAAGTTAAAATCAGTTTTATTATTTTGAAGAGATTTTTTTTCTTCCTACAGACTGGGCAGATACTTGTTTTAGTTTTTTACTCCAGCATATTTGACCTTGAGAATTTTCAAGCTTTATTCTTGTATTACAATTAATGAGGGGCCCAGTTTTTGTTTTTTGTCATATGTTGGAAATGAGAAACCCCAGTAAAATCTCTTTATATATTACATTTTATTTCAATATAATGCAAGATATTTAAAAAAAAAAAAAATAGAAAGTAAAATGCCTGCAAAATAGAAATGCAAAATTATTATTTAGAACTTTTAGTTTTGCCCTTTTTATAAATGGGTAACCTAATTTTACATAAAAGATAAACATCTAAACACTTTTTAAAGTTTAAAGTGTAGGTTTTTAAATGTTTGGGACATGGAACTACCTTTAAAATATCATAATGTGCCACAAAGCTCCAGTGTTTGAGCTCCTGCTGCCACACACAAACACTCGGCCACAAGCTGTGCACTAAGTTTGTTTGTCCTCTTGGCAGCAGCTGAAGCTCAGAATATCCACTGATGTTTGAAGATGGGGTGTTTAGGGAAAGAAGACTTGAATTTGTGTCCAGAAAGATGATAGCATTGAAAAAGAAATGTCAAACGAATAGCCAAATATATAAACAGAGGCCCATCTAGGGTGGATGTTAAAAAACAAAATTAGACTATTAGGATTCCTCAGAGTCACCCCAAAAACTACTGGGATCATGATGAGACTTTGAACTGAAAATATCACTAACACAGAAAACGAAAACGGCCCATTTTTGGCCCATTTCAGTGAAATTATTGCATATTGAGCTGCCAGGCTTGATGCTTTTGGGAGCAAAGCATCTGTCACTGAAAGGATAGGCTGCCAACAGAGTCCAAAAGAATTCTGCTCTGTGCTCCAATAGAGCAAAGACAAAAGTTTTAACGCACAACAGAGAGAGACGGCACTCAACAATACTTGGTTTCATTTGTATTTTTGAGAAAACATTTTCATCCAAATGCTTAGTCATGGCAGGAATCTGCTGATTGGAAACTGCTACTGTTGGTTCAGGCTGAGTTTCTGCTCTTTTTGGGGGAGTGAGGGGTTTTGCCAAAATCTCAGCAGCTTGTGCTCCAACTAAGAATTAATCTTTGCATTTTTTTTTGTTTGTTTTTCACACAGTGAAGTCAAAAGTAAGGAGAAATTACCATTTAAAAGGTTTTATCAGGAGCTCTTGTTGTTTATTTTGCATTTAAAAAAGGTTTCCTCAATCAAAATTTTTTTTTCATAAAAAAAAAAAAATTACTTCAAATAAAAAAAAGTATTAATTCAAAACTAGAAAGTATACAAATGTTAATACATAGTTGAGACTTTTCAAAATGCATTTGAAAAGTTTTTTTTTTCTATGATAAAAAATTATTTCCTTAATAGAAGTTTTTCTGTTTTTTGAAGCAACTTTTTAATTGTAGTAATGTTGTTTTCTGTTCCGATCACACAATTGGTAGGACATGTGTTTTTATAATTCAATCAAAAAAGAAGTTGCTTTAAACAAACCAAAAAAATAAACAAAAAAGTAACTTCATTGAAAAAGGTTTTCAATGCAAAAAAATATGTTTGAGAATAAAGAAATCGCATATGAACACTTTTTTTTATTGAACACGTTTCCTTTGATTAAAGCAATCTTGTGTTACGGCTATACATGGCTAGGACATTCAGGTGTCTTAATCATTCAATCCTTAAACTTGCTTTAATCTAAAAAAAATATTTTTTCATGCACAGTTAAATGCAAAAATAATACCCCCTCCAAAACAAGAAAGAAAAAATAAATAAATAAAACTGTTCCTCTTAGTTTGCTCAATAATATGGACCTTTTAAATTAAATTAATGTATATAAATTAATTAGAAACAAACAGGAAATGGCTTTAAAATCAATTGGAAATCAAATTTTGATTCTATAAAATTGTGTGCTTAGTGCATAAATATCCCTCAAACATTTTACTTCGAAGGCCTTGTTAGCAGAAGCTTTCAGTTATTTCAGTTATAAATCTAAGCTGAGATTTGGAGTTTGATGTTACTTCTTTTAAAGTATTCATACCATTTATTGTATTGTCAATAAAACAACCACAAATCAGAGTGTATTTAATAAAAAATGTATTTAATAACTAAAATAAATGCAAAATTGTATAGTGGAAAATGATTGCTACAGGGGTTTTAGTTCTTTTACAAGTGAAGCCGACCAGACAGGAAAATGATTAAACTTTGGACATCAATACAGCAGGGTTATGTTATTGATTATCCAAAAAGCGATAAAGACCTGGCATTTAGCAAAGCTAATAGGCTGGACAAGATGAGCATTAATCAAAGAAACAGAAATATAAGCATTTTCACAGGTAATGCTTGGCAAGGGTTTGCAACAGATCCACTGGAACTTAAATGTGCTGCGAATAAAACAAATGAGAATTTTAAGAATATTTGTCGTTTGTGTGCAGATGGAGGAGAAGAATAGGCAGCTGCAGGAGAGGCTGGAGCTCGCAGAGCAAAAGCTCCAGCAGACGATGAGGAAAGCTGAGACGCTGCCAGAGGTGGAAGCAGAACTTGCCCAGAGGATAGCTGCTCTCACCAAGGTAGGAATGCAAACTTGACTCTGACACACGTTCCCACAGATACCCTGATTTTTTGATATTGCCGTTGTGTGCGCTTTGTGTCATACCGTGACATTTTCAACGTGTCCCTCTCCTCTCCCTCGGCCACATAGTCCGACTCCAGCTGCTCATCCTCCTCTGATGATTATCACTTTATTATGGAAGCTAAACTTCAAGACATGAACTCCATTCTTAGGAAGGTAGACCCGCAGGGAATTGCAGCTGCTACAGGCTCCTGTAGAGAACAAGTTTCACTCATTTATCTCATTGTTCAGTTGCAGTTGGTTATTGGGATTTTGCTCTGGCTCTTCAGCCACCAATGGAACAGCTGCATGGCACTCCTAGCTGGAGCTCTTATTTTGCTGTGCTAGAGAGGCTCTCTTCCTCTTTTATTCAGTTCTTTTATTGCAGTGGTTGTGATCTTTTTCCCTCAAACTCTTTATTTCAGATTTCGCTCCCTAGTTATGCTTTCTTAAGATCTATTTCTCACTATCCGGTTAGGAGCTTTGCTTTAGTAGCTGAGTCCGCTTTCCCTGCTGCCCGTTGGGCTCTTAAACAGGCACTTCTTTCTGCCCCTTTATGTTCTAATCCATCTGTAGGCGGAGGAGCGTCACGGGAGCATTGAGGAGCGAATGAGGCACTTGGAGTGCCAGCTGGAGGAGAAAAACCAGGAGCTGCTCAGGGTGAGTCACTGCGGAGGAGTGGTGCCAAGCAGCGTTAACCAGGCCGGCAGTTTGATGTGACAACTGATGACACATTTTTGGGATTTATCACCACTGAGGCTGGACCCAATGTGTGGTTTACATGCTGCGATGATAGAATAGTGCCCACAAATCATGTCTAAATTATTTTGGGATAATGTGAGCATCTTCACAGCCTTTCTGTTCTGCTGTCAAATTGCTGTGTCACGCAGAAACAGTTTTAGATTTATCTTTTTTGTCCTTTTCTAATATGATGCTTTTTACTGCAGCATCCAACCTTTGTTACAGTTTTTCAGTAAGGCATGCATGAATTATGACTCAGTCAGGATTATTTTAACAAGTGTTTGGGATGTAAAACAAAGCTTCGTTATTCTATAAAGAGATATTTATCTGTATATATTTATCTGTGTATACTACAAAAAAAAAACCCATCAATATATCAAGAGATTAGTTGCATAGATATCTTCTTAATGTAGTTTTAAGGTCGTAATATGGCATTCTGTTGGAATGCTGGTTTACTTAAATGTATAATAGCAGTCATATTTCAGATCAACATTTACGTCTAGAACTTTACATAAACCTTTTACTGCTGTCTTAAAATAAAAATATGTATAATTGAAATTTTTTTTACTGTTTTTTAATATATTTATAATAAATAAATCCGTATCTGTGGTAAATTATTCAGAAAAAGTTTTGACCTTGAAATAAAAAATTTTGATTTATAAAAACTTTATTTTATCATTTTTGTAGGAGGGTAATTCAAAAACAGAAAAAAAGAATCTGTTCATGGTTATTCGCAGTTGAAATACTTTTTATATTCACTTTAAACAGATTCGAAGATTAAAGATGCTCATTTTATTCCTCATTTGGCTCCTTTAAAGGGAAACTTGCCGGTTAACTGCAGCTTTTCTGTCTCTGTCTGTCTTAGCTGTGTTTTAATGAATCCATGACTAAGAGCTAATTTTCTCAGTCCTTTATTTTCAGTCTAGTTGATAGTTGCTGGTTTTTACCCTCTAGGCTCGACAAAGAGAAAAGATGAACGAAGAGCACAACAAACGCCTGTCGGACACAGTGGATCGACTGCTAACGGAGTCGAATGAGCGCCTTCAGCTTCACCTGAAGGAGAGGATGGCAGCTCTGGAGGAGAAGGTCTGCAGATGCTATACAAGTGGGAATTAAACTGTACAGTTATGTCATTGACTAAATGTTTGCTTTTTTTCTGTTTTTGCAGAATATGTTGATTCAAGATTCAGAAGGATACAGAAAACAGTACGAAGAGTCTTTACAAGAAAAAGTATGTGTCACTTATTAACAAGCTCCTAATCTTTAAGCTCAGTTCATGATAGATGAGTTCATCTTTGGAAGAAACTTTGCAAATCAACAGATAATTTTACCTTCCTCCAGATGTAGCTTTTTATAATATGATACATTGATATAAATCCCAGCACACATAACAGACAAGCTTTATTATTGATGTGAAATTGTTTTTGTTCAGTCCCATCTGGCAGACGAGATTGAGAAGCTGAGATCGGAGCTCGACCAATATAGATTGAGGGCAGGCTCCCTCACAGAACCCACTCTGTCTCGGTAGGTGGCATGTTTGAATCTTTGTGTTGGGCCTGCAGCTTTTTGCCCTGCAAAATGTCTATAGTTAATCAATGCAAGCCAGTAAGTCAGCCTTCTAATTTAACTGTGCTGATGGCAATTCAAAGACCCCTGCTGAACTTTACCTGAACTGTACAACTTGTTCCACTGTATTCAGGCTCATAATAGTAACAAAGACATAAAACATAAAGAAAAGTGTTATTGATACAAGCAAGTAAAAAAAACATGTCATAAACAGTCTCAGGTTTCCCAAAAGTGGTGTTTTGTATTAAACTAGAGACATACATTTTTTCGGGAATCCCACGGGTCACGGGATTCCCGTGGGATGGGAGTCAGTATTAGTAACGATCACGTGATTGGGACGGTACAGGATTAAACATTAACGGGAGCGGGAGCAAACCAATAGTAACTAAAAAAAAACTAGGATCGATGCCAAAAAATAAAATAAAATAGAAAGAAAAAAAATCCAGTACTGGCGCCGCCATTTTGTAGTTTTTTTTCCTTGAAGCCTACATTAGAGACTGACATTTTTTCGGGAATCCCATGGGTCACGGGATTCCCGTGGGATTCCCGTGGGATGGGAGTCAGTATTAGTAACGATCACGGGATTGGGACGGTACAGGATTAAACATTAACGGGAGCAGACGGGAGCGGGAGCAAACCAATAGTAACTTCCGCTCTGAGTTTTTCACCCGCGCTCAAAAACAACAAGAATGGGAGTGGTGCAGGAGCGGGAGTCATTCTGAATGGGAGCGGGATGGGAGTGGGAGTAATTTCACCAGGAGTGGGACGGGACAGAATTTAGATTTCTACTCTGGCCCGGGATCGGGACGGGACACCATTTTTTTTCTGTGGGAGTGGGACGGGACAGGAGTGAAAATCCACTCCTGTGTCAGTCTCTAGCCTACACTATAATGAGAGTCAAAAAAACTACACGACCCAAAAACCAACAGTGCTTCCGCTCTGAGTTTTTCACCCGCGCTCAAAAACAACAATGGAGGGACCAACAGTTACTACAGTTAGAAACAGGAACTTAACTGAAATCTTATTGAAGACAACAAGAATGGGAGTGGTGCAGGAGCAGGAGTCATTCTGAATGGGAGCGGGGTGGGAGTGGGAGTAATTTCACCAGGAGTGGGACAGGACAGGATTTAGATTTCTACTCTGGATCTGGACGGGACACAATTTTTTTCTGTGGGAGTGGGACGGGACAGGAGTGAAAATCCACTCCCGTGTCAGTCTTCATATTAAACATAAACCATATGGTGTCGTCACACCTGTTAAATGTGGTCCAGAGTTTTTTTTTTTCCCCTGTTTTGATCTATTGGATCTATTAAATGGGTTTGAGTAAAAACCAATAAACTCTGGACCAGCGACCAGTTTTTCAGGTATTCTTGGTCCACTTCTAAACACTCCGATGCACTTTGCTTTAGGTATAAATTAAAACCAGCCTCTCTGAACCAAATGCAGAAAGCATACATGTTTTTTTGCTTGGGAATTTACAGTTACAGTAAATCACATCCATTCTGCTGTCTGTTGTTCAGCAAAACTGCTGCCAGTAAGTGGCAAATGTCTCTCTGCTTGAAGGACACATTCTCCGACATCTCACAATATTTAGAATAAAAACTCTCCAAATAACATTAAAAGAAATGCTCTGCACTTACGATTATTTTAAAGCTGTAAAGAACAGAAATATGCAAACATGCATGCAGGTCTCTGATCTCTGTTTAGACTTAGCAAAATTTCTTTTTGCATTGTGTGTACAAAATGACAAAATAAAAAGTACAGCTTTCAAGACTATTTAATTTTTTAAAGTGCAGCTGGATTGCTGAAGGAATGTAAAAAATAAAGTCACTGTCTACATGCTAGTACTCCGCACTCCCACAGAGACACGCAATAAAAATGCCTATATATGTAGCCTTTGGCTGCAAAAACAAGCAGTTTGCCGACTGTGGGAAGACGTTTTACAGGTAATTTCAGTGGATGTACTAACCAAAAAAATCCCTATATAAGCCAATGTATCCTATAGTAGTATCTAGCGTAACATTAGTCTGGCTATCTTGGATTGATTCAAAGTTATTGTCTGAGTTAGGCATTGACATCATGTGTATAGTAAGAAAATAGAAAGTAAAGTGAAAATAATTCAGTGTGACATCTCAATGTAGTAATTAATTAAGTGGATGACGCTGTTTGTTGTTTTTCTCATTTGAAAAAGTCATGTGCTGAAATAACACTGCATGCACACTGCAAGTGTGTGTCAAAGTCATGAATTTATCTTTATTTTAAAAGTCTTAAGTCCTCCTAAAAATAAGAACAACATCGTTGGTCGATGCTGTAGTGCACATATTGTACAAATATGGTGGACAGTGGCTTTATTTCAACCCGGTACAACCAACAGGCAATCAGCAATCCCATGAATAAATAGAGATCAGTGGTGTCCCATAGTAACCATCCTCCATTCAGTCTAAGCTGCTCCAATCATTTCTGGCCAATGGGAGCAGCAGTTGTCACACTAATGACTTTATTCCACTTGCAAAAAGTAAGTTCTGTATGTAAACTGAAAGAAGTAAACAAAAATAATAAAATCCACTTTTGGTCCAGACGAAAAAATCGATCAAAGGGCTTTTCTGGTGTAAATACATCCTTAGAAATGAATGTATAAAACCAACATAGTGCAGATTTACTCACACTATGGAGAGACTGCATTGTCCACAGTAGTGAATAAATCGTCCCTTCTGAAACTGTTTTTTTATCACAAATAGGGTTGAATCAGATGGTTGTAACTTTTGCATGTGGTCCATGTACAGGTTCTCCAAAAATTGTGTCATAAGAACTCTTTTATTAATAGGTGATGTCATGGTTTGGTTGTAATATTTTATCAGACACTGGTAAAAATGAATAGTTAGCTGATTATTGTAGGTAAACAAGCTAGAGGAGCAAAAGAAGTTTGATTTCTTGCAAAAATCAACTCCACTGACTACTTTTAAAATCTGTCAATAAATCAAATAAATCTGTGGACTCGTCGCCAGTTTCAGGGCCAAGCTAAGCACAAACCTTCTTAGGTATACGAGGGCTATTAGTCGAAACTCTCACCCACATAAATTCGTAGCAGGATCTTTGGCATAAGTATCAATGCACAGCTACCATGTGAATGCACTCCTATTTTCACTTTGCAGGAATTAGCAGTCAGTGGTTTCAGAGAACAGATCAACATTATTAATATGTCAATAATATTTGGAGTGAAAAATTGAAGATAGAAATTAAGGACTGTGGTTCCTAAGAAGCAGAAATAAGATACTGCTGCAAAGAAAAATGAAAATAATCCCCCTTTGATGATCACCCCCACACATTCCTTAAAATCTTTGATTGTTGATTTTGTTGAATCAGTTCAGCCCAGTTATGACCACTAAGGGACGGAATTAGCAATTTACAGCACAATTGATAAGTTAAAATCTTCTGCTTGACGATGATCATCGATCGACCAGCATTGCTCAGCTAGAGCAATAAATGATTCGATTTTTTATTTTTTTTTACAGGAATATCCATAAAATGAGTGTGATGATTATTCAGATTCAGTGTATTTTTCTAAATTTGGGAAAACAAAGAAAATTAAGCAGCTTGTATTGTAATTAGGACACTTGAGCATCCAGACATTAGTCTGTTGCCATACAGAAACACAGCTGAGCAGAGCTTACCGTACATATAAAGGCTCATATATCATGGAATATTCTGGTTAAGATGTGTTTATTGTAAGATGAATCAATCAAAGCATTTATTCATCCCGCAAGAGAAAAATCAAAGTTTCACATATGGAGGATCAGGTAACTAAGCAGGAAATGGAGAAAATATTTCATCATTTTGAGTTTCTGTTTTAGTTGAACAATCAGATTTTTTTTCGCTGTCACACTACAGTTAGAAATGCTGCTTTCACTGATGATCTGCTATTTTCACAGATATTTTTTTGTTTATTGTGATATGCACCATGAGCTTCAGTATGAGAACAGTGGTGCGTTAACATCAGCAGCCCTAATATCAGCAATAGACAATTTCAAAGCACAGAGGTGTGCATGAAAACCTCTGCTTCAAAACACATAACAATGAACATTTATTATGCTTGAGGGGCGTTTTGATTAGTTTGTCGCCTGCAAAACTGATTATTTTTCCACTTGATGAAATTTACCTTCAGTACAGAGTTCCATTGCAAAAGAGTCAAAACTTAAATCTGTGCTTTAGGTCTCATCTTGACACATCAGCTGAGCTTCGATTCTCTCTGGGATCTCTGGCCGAAACCCAGTCGGACCATTACCGCTCGGCTAAAGTCATCCGCCGGCCAAGGAGGGGTCGGATAGGTTTGCGCGAAACAAAGGTGAGGTGAATGCAACACACTTCATCTAACAGCTGTTCATTTTTACAAAAAAATAAAAATAAAAAATAAATTTTAGTTTTTGATTTGTCAATAAAAAATATGCGGCAGACTGAATGAACTGGTTCCTTATTGATTTAACTGGTTGAAAATATAATGAAATATAACAGTTAAGCTATGTATTTATCTTTATATACTGTATCCCATTTATCAAAGATTACTTTATTAAAGATTACTTTATTTTCTGTGTAAAACTTTTTTAAGGAAATTTGCTTTGAGCTGAGAGCAATAAGTGATTTTAAGTTTACATTTATTAGTTTTGGCAGACAGTATTTTTTTACGTAGGGTCAAATTGGCTTAGATAGCATTATATGTGGTTCTTTTTAACTGTTTAAATTAATTTCACTTAAAAAAAAAGTGATTGACAAAAATGTAGAAAAGAAAAGAAACTCATGAGGGACAAATGTCTTTAACAGCTCTTTGTTTTATACTTGTGCATTCTGGAAATGTAGATCATAATAAAAAGATATTTCTTTGTATTTTTTTTAAATGTACACCAGTTTCTTTAACAGGGAAAATCTATTCTAGGAGGTTTGATGATTCCAACTCATGTGATCTGTGTTTTTTTCATATTTTTTTTTAGTGTAAGCAGTTTTTTTTTTTTTTTTCTAAAAGCATTAAGAGCTAAAGAATTTTTCAGAAAACTAAACAAACTAAAAGCTTGTCAGCAAATATACATTTAACGATTACATCATTTAAAAGATTTCCCAAAAACATGATTTTGTTGTTTGTTTTTAAAATTCAGGCTAAGTCTCTTGGAGAGCATGAGTGGCGCTCCCAGCAGCTGGGCGTTTTGGGAGGCCATCACTTCGAAAGCGACACCGAGATGTCGGACATCGACGACGACGACAGGGAAACTTTGTTCAGCTCCATGGACCTTCTCTCTCCTAGCGGCCACTCCGATGCACAAACTCTGGCTATGATGCTTCAAGAGCAGCTGGATGCCATCAACAAAGAGATAAGGTACCTGACACACACCACCATAGATGTTTGGTACAAGAAGACAAATGGAGCTATGACAGTCAGACTCTTTGCACTGGAAAAAATTGAAATCTAAAGAAGTCATTTTTTTTCTTAAAATAAGTTCTTGAATTGAGAAGGTAAAAGGGACATTTTCCCGACGGAAAAAGGCAATTTACATTTAAAATAAGAAAACACAATTACATTGTCTTATTTCAAGTGCATATTATCTAAATATCTTATTTTAAGAGTAAAAATACTCATTCCCTTGGCAAATCATCTCATTAACATACAAAAATATAACAATGCACTTAATTGAAGACATTTTTTGCGAATTTTTAGATCGGTTTTCCAGTGTGCATTCACAAAAATTCTAGGTTGCAGAGAGCTCTAGCCCACACTGAGAGCTGATAAAATGTGAATTACTGGCATTGCCACTGATCAGACAGCAAAGCACGCTGGGAGATATGAATTAGACCTTGTGATGCATTCACATTTTTGGCGTTAAAGCGTCTGAACGTGCAAATTCTGGGGGGTGTGGCGTTGAGTCACAGCAGCGCGTCTGAGCATTGGGAGTTCAGAAAATGTAGCTTGTGCTGCTGGATGCAAGAGCGTCAACCAGAAAAGCTGATTCAGGAATTTATTTGGAGAAACAGAAACCACATGCAAGCTGGGATCCCCTCTGCAGAGCTGTCTTCGTATGAAAAATAAATAGAAATAAAAGTTTAAACTCCAAAAGTTCGAGAAAAAAAAAAAATAGAATGGATCGTTATGAGGAATTATTGCTGCACTAAAAACCTGGTGAAACAGTTTATAAATACCTACATTTGCTGAAAATCTTAAAACTGCAGATGAAAAACATTCGATTGCATCTCTTTTCTATTTAAATCCGGCTCTACAAATGGCCTACCACCTCGCAGTGGTTGGCTGGAGGTGTGGCACTGCATATTTTAGTAGGATCATAATCATGATGAATTGACCACACAGATTATGGTTTGCGGCGTATTTGTTCTCTTTAAAATGTGTCAAAACAATTTTTACATCTGTTCTGTGGCTTGCGTCCAGAGCCTCGAAACGTCAAAGCAACTGATCAGCGTTTGACGCAGCGTCCACATTTTGCCGTTAAAGTGTTTTCGATCCCCACCAAACATCTCAAGGACTTAACTAAAATTGTATTTTTTCCACATAGAAGATGCTAGTTTGACAGTTTTGTTTCATTATTAATTTTATATCTATATATAACAGACATTTTACTTAGAAGCAAAAATGAAACAAAGAATCTACTGAAATACTTTATTCTAATACATTTCGTTTTCAAATATAAGAACAATAAAAGTAATTTGCCTTTTTTATTAAATTTTCCAAAAACACAGCTGCTGAATTGAGCGTTTCTACAAGTATGTGCTGCTTCGTACCTGCTAATGCTGGTATAATCATGTACTCATATGTATTCATAACTTCATTTCAAGTAGTGTGAATGAGCTTGTTGCTAATTTGCATTCACCCCAACAGAAACAGATGAACATTCCCGTCACGTACACTTCATTTTAATCTGACTGGATGTAATGATCATGCATCCAAGGAGTTTCCTCGTGGCTAATTACAGAATTAGATCCTAGATATAGGTGAAACAGATTAGCTTACACTGAGCCCTTCATTAGTTCTACTCACTTCAGGATTTCTGGAGTTTTAGTGGAGGCACACCCCAAAGACCTGAAGATAAGAGTGAATTCTCAAACGCTCTTTCCTTTTTAACATTTTAAATGTCGACAGTTTAGAACCAGAGGGACTATAAAATGTTCTCCTGGGGGCTTTAAATTGTACGCTACAATAGATTTAAAGTATTTCTGGCTCCTCCTGGTCTGTTCAGGCTGATACAGGAGGAGAAGGAGTCAACAGAGCTGCGAGCAGAGGAGATTGAGAACAGGGTGGCCAGCGTCAGCCTGGAAGGGCTTAACCTGGCTCGGATGCACCACCATGGAGCCTCCATCACTGCCTCAGCCACCGCCTCCTCCCTGGCCTCATCTTCTCCACCCAGCGGGCACTCTACCCCCAAACTGGACCCCAGAAGCCCTGCACGGGACATGGAGCGCATGGGGGTGATGACTCTGGTAAGTTGTTTGTAACTGTCATTTTGTTCATGTGATTCATGTTTGTGTACCGGTACATAAATTTAATGGTCTGTAGGTTTAGGAAACTTTTTGAATCTGTAACTATAAGAATTGTGTGTATTTTTATTTTGTATTCATAGTTTCATTATATTTCTATTTGTTTTTAAATGCACATTTACAAGAACTGAAAATGTCACAAATTACAAAACATTACATATCTGGCATTACAGACTCTAATCTATTCTGAAACAAAATTCTCTCTATATTAGCCTGGCTGTGAAAGCAAAATGTTTTATGTACTGTTAATCTTTGATTGAAAAGGTAGCAATCACATTAATAGTCAGGTGAACAAATGCTTTCAACTCTCATCACACAGTTTGTGTTTTAACTATTTTACCTCTGTCCAAAAATATCTGCAAAAATTGAATTTACACTGTGAAAAACTTAAAGAACCCTTTAACAGCTACTGATTGCCATTTTGTTTGAAATAACCTCAGTGAATCTATTATTGTAGATCTCTTTCTGGCATTGGTCTGAATATAATATGATATAATTAAACTTAATTGATCTCACATTGGAGAAATTTACCTCTGCAATTAACCCATCCCCTTAGGGAGCAGTGGGCTGCCATTGTGTGGCGTCCAGGGAGCAGTATGGGGTTAAGGGTCTTTGCTCAGGAACACAAGAGTGGAGGCTGTGGGGATCGAACCGGGTACTTGCAACCTTCTAAGAGCACAAGTGCACTGCTTTAATCACTAGGCTCCCCACCTGGAGAACATGTGTTCACGCCTAGCTACCAGCAGACGGATATTTCAGTTTTGAGTTTTTTTTGTATAATTTTTTTAATTTAAGACCCTAACTTTAATTGATCCCAGGACTTTTAATTTTTAACCATTATTTTGACATGTTTTGGATCATTGTCAGGCAGCCGTATCCAGTTTGATTTTAAGGTAACATTAAAATAAAAGGAGCTTAAATGAAAAATGGAATGAAAAAAAATGAAAGTCATTGAATAAATTAGTTAATAAATTTGTTTAAAAAATAAGTGTCACAAAATAATTCCTAAATTATGATATATATTATGAAAAAAATACATAAATAGCATAATTCATACTATAATTGAATAAATAAAACATTTTAAAGATAAGATCATTATTTTAACTTTTTTTTTAATTTCTTGGCTATTTTTATTTATTTAATGGAATATTTTATTGGCATTTGTTCAATGGCAGAATCTATTTAATTTTGAATGAAACAGCTCTCCATAGAAGAGTAACTCATTATTTAGTCCACATATAGTTTAATATACAGTACAGTCCAGAGGATAAGTAACCAAAGGTGAAAAACTTAACCATTTTTGGAAAAGTTTTTTTCCTTTTTCTTAAACCTAAATCAGAATCAAAAGTACTTAAATGCATACTTACCTCAGTTATGGTTGGGTACCATGATCCAATAATAAATAACTGACTGTGGCAGAAATAGAGGCCATTACCACTGCTCTCTTGCCAAAATTAACACGCTTGGCTACTAGCAGATGGATATACCATACCAACTTTATTTATGAAGCACTTTATGCACCGGACAGGACCAAAGTGCTGTACACAATCATAAAATAAAATAAAATTATAAGATAGAAAAAAACGAGTGTAAAATACAAATTAGTATACAAAGAGAATAAAACAAAGTAAAACCTCTCAGATTGTGCCAAAAGCCAAGGAAAAAAGATGAGTCATAAGAAGGGATATTTCAGTTTTGTTTTATTTGTGTTTTTTGGGGGTTTTTTTTGTATATGAAGTCTGATTCAAGCAGTCGTTTCAATCGTTGTTTAATTTAAGACCCAGCCTTTGATTGATCCCTAGGATCTTAGGATTATTTTGACATATTTTAGATAATTGTCAGGCAGCCGCATCCGGTTTGATTTTAAGGTAATGCATCACTGTTAAATCAGCCACTATCATGTAGTAAAGAAGGTGTTGGAGTCCTTCAGGTTCAGTTGATCAGTGCTTCCCAACTGGTGTGACTTGTATCCTGGAATGCTGTTTGTTAACATACCTTCTGAAAACTGTCCAAAAATATCATCTGGCAAGAAAACATTCCTCCACATATTATCCTGGAACTTCCTGGATTTTCTCTTAGTCTTTAGATTGTTTTTGTAGGGTAACAAAGTTTTCCTCTCTGCTTACCAACTTTCAAAGTTCAACTGTAGGAGGTTAAACGTCTACATTAACGGTAACAGGAGCCTGCTGCAGGTCCTGTGATGAGATTTTAGCATCTTTCCATCTGCTTTCAGGATCAACTCTCGTGGACGCTGGAATCTTGTTGTTTTAAATGATCTCGGATTGTTGAATATTTTCCATTAACTTGAATAATTGGAAGTTATGTTGAGACCTCCATAAAACCCTGTTAGTTCAAATCAGCTTGTGAGAATTAGCGGGAAAATGTTTAATTCTAATAGCAGCCTTTGTGATGGACGCAATGTAGTAATTATTTGTTTTCTGATTTATACCATCAGTTTATTGGTGCTTCCTTAATTTTTAAGTGTTGCATTATGACTAATCGACTTTTTTTCCCCACATTAAATGTAAAAAAAAGATTAGATTATCCGGGCCTCATTTTTTAAATAAATATAAATATTCCATAAGCAGTTCCTATAAAAAAACGTGCCCAGCTTGTTAAACCTTTTTTTACATTTTAAAAAAGGTTTTTATTTTTTTACAAAAATACCTGAAGATATGCCTGGGTTTAATTTATTTTGTTATACACATTAAATCTATCTTCAATTTGCTTTATTTTTTAAGACATCCCAAGTTATATAAAGTTATTTCAGTAAATCCTGACCCTCCTATAACTTTAAAAAAGTCTTTGAAGCTCAGAGGAGCTTTACGTCAGTCTCACACTGACCTACTGTAACCCTAACATGTTTTGCCCGACAACTCCCAGAAGAAAATTTTTCTTGAGTGCCGTTTATGCGGCTAAAGCTGCCACAGATGCAGCCTGGTTGCATCGTTCAGTGTTAGTATTCCTGCACCACGCTCAGTGTGAACCTGGAGTAAGAAGATTTGAGAATCTTAAACCGAGGAAACCTTTTTTTCCTCCAAACACTAAAGTTTAATTAAATGCTACAGATGTTTCATGCAGTGATTTAAAAACGTGATTAAAAATCCTCTCGTGTCGCCCACACGGCACTGCAACTCCTCTGATGATGGTGAAAACAATAAAATATTCTACAAGTGGAAATCTGACTAATTGCTGCCCAGATTGCTTTTCACTGAAATGCTTTTAAGTTTGGTAAATTTAGATTCCATCAGCATCAGCAGCTAAAACAGTCAAATCCATACTAATGTAAATATATAGGAGGTTACCAGGCTACTGTATGACATCATGAGATGAGGCATTCATTTGAATGGGTTGTGGTGAGGCAGTGGAACATCAACAATATAAAGAACAAATGGCTTTTAAAAGCTTTGCCACTGCGCTAGACTTTCATCAACTTAAAGTATGAAAAAGAAAATACCTGCCAGTGTTTCAAGTGGACCATTTAAAGGAATAGTACACCCAAAACATGATTAGCCTTCATTTTCTACTCACCCCCATGCTGAACAACACTCTGGAGTACTTTTTTGATATCTCAAATGCATCTGGAGATCTGGGAGGCTTCTTGCTGTCTGCTGACATTCAAATAATGGAGGTCTATGGTGACCGAGACAGAAAGGTCCATAAAAGTCCACAAAAAACGTGTCAATATTCCTCCATACTGCTCGTCCAATGTATTCCAAGTGTCCTGAGTGGGTAGCATCCAGAATTTACTCGAAACGAAGTAATTTAGAATGTTTTTAGAGCATAAACAGTAGTGTATAGGATTTCCTGAAAGCGCGCACATGCGCGATCCCGACACTACGGAAGCTGGCAGACCAAACCAGCGCATTCGGCTCGGCAAAGAACTCATGCTCTTCCTCAACACTGAAGTCCTCAGACATTTTTCTTTTGTTGTTTCTTTCTTTGCACAGGTAAACAGCACATTTCTTCTTCTACGCTTGCATTATTGGAAGAGCAGACGCTGAATGCGCACTTTAATCTGGTTTGGTCTGCCGGCTTCCGTAGCGTCGTGATCGCGCATGTGCGCGCTTTCAGGAAATCCTATACACTACTGTTTATGCTCTAAAAACCTTCTAAATGACTTTGTTTCGAGTAAATTCTGGATGCTACCCACTCAGGACACTTGGAATACATTGGACGAGCAGTATGGAGGAATATAACACGTTTTTTGTGGACTTTTATGGACCTTTCTGTCTCGGGCGCCATAGACCTCCATTATTTGAATGTCAGCAGACAGCAAGAAGCCTCCCAGATCTCCAGATGCATTTGAGATATCAAAAAAGTACTCCAGAGTGTTGTTCAGCATGGGGGTGAGTAGAAAATGAAGGCTAATCATGTTTTGGGTGTACTATTCCTTTAATAGGATAAAGCAGAGGAAGTTTGTTTTCAGCTGAAGCTTTATTCTGGGTCGTTAATTTTGTCTAAAAAACGCTTTTTAAAGATCTTCACAAACATTTTGTGAATTATCTCTTTACTCACTTAAGTTATACTGATAATAGCTCATTTTGAGTCTTCATCAAAGGGTAACCCCCCCATGCTAAAGTTGGCATCTCACCACAAAGTAAGCATTAACTGAAAATATAAGAAATATGAATTTTCAGCCATTTTCAGTAACCTGAGAGGTACAACCAGAACATTTCTGAATTTATTTCTCATACTGTTCTCATAAAAAGAGAAAATATCATACTTTTTATGTGTGCATTCTGACCTGGGGTCTTAACAGTCAATAATAAAGATGAATAAATGGCTTTAAAAATAATATTTTAATGCAAATTAAACCATGAATACAAAAGGTTATGATATGTAAATGTCTTTATTTAAAGGCTTTGATGTTGTTGATCAAATGACTGGTTTGTCTCTGAGTGGATTTTTGGCAGCGGCTCATAGGGATCTTCTGATGCATGATGTTTATATGCAAGAAGCAACCTTTTTGATATGCTGTTCACCGTGTCATCGTTGCATGCTGACATATCAAAATGACCATCTTTTCTTATCTCCCCTCTTTCCAGCCCAGTGATCTGAGGAAGCACAGAAGAAAGGTACAGAAAGCAGCAGAGTATTTGTTAATTTTTCACACTAAGCTCTCATATTTCTCTTTAATGGCTGCTGTAATGACACCATGAAGGGACTGTTGACTTGCTTGCAGTCAGGTATTCCTGATTCACCCTTTTGTCCTCGCCCCTCAGATAGCTGCTGTGGAAGAGGATGGCCGAGAGGACAAGGCCACGATCAAATGTGAGACCTCCCCGCCTCCAACGCCGCGCACTGTGCGAATGACACACACACTGCCAGCCTCCTCGCACAATGATGCACGAGGGTATATTTTCAAATTAATATTTGAAAATAAGATGCAGTTTTATTTTTAAAAAAGAGCTAAAATAGTCTGCATTGTGCAATTAATTCCCTCCCAGGATTGTGGCTTCTCTGGAGGCTGAAGCCAGTGCCCTAAGTAGCATAACCAGCAGCCAAGACTCCCTGCACAAACAGCCGAAGAAGAAAGGGATCAAATCCTCCATTGGACGCTTGTTCGGAAAAAAGGAAAAAGGTCGACTGGGGCATCTAGCACACAGACAGGTCATGGTCGATCCTCAAGGTGAGAGATACTTTCCCCCCTCTGGTGTTTTGCACATGTATGAGAGAAGAGAAAAGGCTCCACAGTCTGTTGCTGCATTGCACAGGTTCTTTTGATAATGGTTGTAATATCTTCTGGGGTAACAAAAATATCAATTTGGAAGTGTTTTTGAACAAAGTGTTTAATGTTGTGAGCTACAAGAGGTCAAACTGTAGGTCCTTTTTCATTCCCTGTGCAGATCTGAGCTCCTTTCTCATCAAAGCTTCCCCATTATGAACTCTAATCTTTTCCCGTCTCTGATCAGATTGATTTGGCCATCTTCCTCACACTATACAAGTTTTTTTTTACTCTTAGTTTTTCTTTTCTCTTGTGTGGAATCTATGATGGGTTTCATGTGCTTTTTAGGCTTAGCTATTGTGACCTATCATCAAAAGTGCCCATGTTCTCCCGCTGCGGCAGAGCCTCAACAAAGTATCCAGGTGAACGAGTGTGAGCAGCACATCACGTTCGCCAGATAATCCGGCCTGAAGCCTGAACTGAATAATGGGGCCCAAAGAAGTAGCTGCAGTTAATAGAAGCAACATGCTGGGCAAATGTAAAGACATGTAGCGGAAACTTAAAAAATATAATTTACCTTTTAACCTTGCACCATGCAAAGGTGCGGATGTTGTTCCTAGCTTCATCATTTAAAAAAAGAAAAAAAAATATCTGGAAATAATATCCCAACAAATTAATTTATTATAGTTTCGATATGGATGAGATTTTCTTATTCTATCAAACAATCTGGGATTAGAAAAGATCCCCGCTTTGATTAATAGAAAAATCTGTTCAACTTCTATAATAACATTGTTACTTTTAAAGGCCAATTGTTTACTAAATTATGTTGTTTTTTTGTTTTTTTACTAAAGATTTACAAAAAGCCACTCTTATTTAATTATTGCACATCAAAATTAAATGAGCTTTAACCGAATTGCTTTGCAAAACTTTTGAAATTACAGCAACTGTGCAGAAAATCAAGCAGGTCTTAGATTCAAACATGTGAAACTAAAAAGCATGATGAAAATGTTCACATTAAAATGAAAGTATGCATGTTCACTCTTATGTAAGGTGAAGGATTAGTGTTACTTAGGGCTTCTTTCCCTTTTCGAAGATCTCTGAAAACCTTTATGATTCATGGGAACTTTGATTCTTTAAAACTAGAATGATTGAAGTAAAACGCTCTTGCTCTCTGCTGGAGACTGAAAGTTTGTCCTCATCTTGTCTTTGAGCAAGAAGATAATCAAATACTCTGAGGCCAAACCAATACAGAAAAAAGACAATCAACCTTTTCCCCTTAAAAAAAAAATGAATGCAACAGCAAGTCATTTTCAACTCGCACTTAAAAAAAAAGGCTGTTAAAAACATTTACTGCCCTCTGCGAGCCACACATCCAGCTGCTACAGCGCTGTCACTGCAAGCAGCAGATCACAAACAAATGACTGGTGTACAAATGACTTAATACAGCTGCAAATTGTTGCTGTTATAGACGTCAGCTATCAAGTAAAGCATTTTTATTCGCTCTCTTAAGGTGAATCAAACTATCCATGTTTTATTGATAAATTGATCACTTCAAAGTCACATGGGTAACAAAGGATTAGAAAATACGGTTCACATAAGTCCAATAACAGGTCTGCATCAGTTTTTTAATTTGAGGTCTCTCCGTGGAGCAGATGCTCTGCACAGATCCCCTCTTCTGCAAGCCCTGTCCCAATCCAATTCTTGTTTTCTCTGTTTTTTTCCTTCCTCCTCTGAAAAAGGTTTTCTTTGCTGGTGTTTCCTGGCTCCTCCGTATCATAACCCTCCAAAAGAAAAAGAAAAACGTTAATAATCACCTGTGGGAAGCGCAGCGAGGCGTGTGTTTCTAAAGCCAAGGCCTATAAAGTGGGCTGCTAGTCGTCTTTCCTCAAGAATGAGAACAAAACCATGAAACTGGCACCGGGGTCTGCGACACAAACGCTGAGGTTTTCTGGCAGCCCACTTAATCATCTCATAAACAATTAGATTACCATCATAATTAGAAAAAAAAAAAAAGAATTGTCCCTGAGAGCTGTTTTGTGCCTTTTTGGTTTTTTCTATTTTTTATTTTTTTTCTTTGTCTGTTGGATTATTTCCTCACTGGACAAACATGTAATAAAGGGGAGATTATGCCACTAGAGTAGAATGTTCATCTATTTTACGACTTTCCTCACATTTTAAAAAACACTGTCAAAAAGTGTGAATCGCACCAAATGGAACAATCACTTGTAGCATCAAAATTAGGGATCTGAACCATAACATTAGTTTAATTAATGCTCTAGATTCTTTATAATGTATTAACATTGTCAAATCTGTCGTCTCTCCTTCTTCATTAGCCACGATGATGGACCCAGATGCATCAGGCCAGGACATGGGGGTGGGCAAGTTGGGAACCCAGGCTGAGAAGGACCGCAGATTAAAAAAGAAGTAAGATCATGAGCTGTATCCTGTTAACATTCATCCAATTTGTTAGTGATTTTTAAAATAGATCCTCAAACTACAACACAGTCAAATCAATTCAGAGCTTTTAAACCCAGACACTCTTATTTTCAGCATATGCCTGATCCTCCTGCACCCCCTGCACACTATGAAATAGTAAATCCTTTGCTGAGAGCTGGGTCAATAGAAAGCAGAAGCTGGATCAGTGTCCAGGAGCGGATATCAGTGTCACTATATTCACACACAGAGCCAAAGTCAGACTATTGATCCAGCCTGAAAAGCCAATTAATCCCACAGATGAGCTCTGTCAATTTTGAAGATGTAGGCGGATCTCCCCGCTCTACACTCCTAGGTTACGCTTTAGAGTGTTGCACTACCTGCTGTATGCGTGTGACTGCGTGTGCGTGCATTTGCCATGCTCCAGTGCCAAATGATGAATGTCATTTGCTTGAAGTTCATATTGAGTCGTCGTGACAAATAACTTTGCCTCCCATGTAGTTGGTCAATATGCAGTGGTTGTTGTATGTTGACAAATGTGCTGTTTTCCTCCCCACCGCACTGACTTCTCCATAGCTGTGTCCGGGACCCGGGCCTCGCCACCACCTTGCATCTTGGCGCCTCCTCCACACTGCATGCCATTATAAGCTGCCTGCTCTCTTTTTCCATTTCAGCATCTTGATCGATCAAAAAAAAAAAAAAAAAAACGCTGTGATCTCATTGTAGATTAGCTGTTTTTTCCTTCAACTCTGTTCCGGAATGTAACTGAGCATTTGAATGTAAGGCCATGGAAGTGGGGTTTCTTGTTGTTTTTTCGAGGCATTTCTCATTTCCTCTTCTGCACGACGTGTGAAAAATGACATTTTCTTTCACTGGTCTACAGATGCTCCTGTTAAACGAATGCCCTCCATAGTGAGAGTACAGTGTGTGTTTGAGCGAGTGTGCATGTGTGGTTTTTAAAGAGTCGTTTTATTAAATGCCTTTGAACTCATTAACATTTGTGTACTTTTGTCTCCCCGTCGCTCTTTCTCCCCCGTTCTCTCTGACTCTTCCTCTCCCTTTCATCATCCTCTGACTCTAACAAAGCGGGTAAGTTGTTGTGAGGATCTCAAACTGACCTCTCCTGGATATGACCATTGTTTTAGCCATTTTTGCCCTGTCTGCCATCTCTCCTGTCTGTCCTACCATGAAAGACCCGTGCCAAATCTATCTAATCTATCTATCCTTCCTTGGTGGCTTTTATGAAGCCATTGCCTTTTTTTCTGTTTTTATTTACAACCTGAAGATCTTTCTTTCCCTCACCTTTTTTTTTTTTTACAGTTCAATGGCAGCTGCGCCTACGGCTGGATAGAGGATAGATGTTGTGCCGCCACTAAAACTGGGACTTAATTTTCACACCCAGACTCTCTTCTCTCCTTTTATGTGTCTCTATTCTTATTTCTGTGTTAAATAACCAGCGACAGTATCTGGTTATGAATGTTTTATAGTTTTTTTTTTTTCTGTTTTTGATTTATCATAACTTTTTCCTGACTTCCCTCTTCCCAGCTATGTTCAGTGGATGTATTTCATCATGCATTAAACCCGGGCTGAACATAAAAACATGATCTAACTCCCCCATGTGCAAAATAGATAAAGACGAAGAACGTCCTTGGTTGTATTTGGATGAACACATTTCTTCTACCATCTGCAGACTTTTTCTTTGCCATGTAAAGTACTTTGCAGAAGTATTTGTGCACTCTAAACTTTTTTTTTTCACATTTTTCATGAAAGATTCATAAATTTTAATGTATATTATTTTGTTTTTATGGTATGGATCAACACAAAGAAGAAGCTTTGTTGTTTTCGTACAGCAGAAAATAAAATTTAGCAGCATCTCTCAGCAGCCTCAATGTCAATTAGCTATAATAAAGGAATGTTTTTTAAGAAACAGTACTTGGTTTCACTGCACACTGAGGTATAAGAATAAAATACTTAACATTTTGGGTAGAAGTTCATCTTCTCTTAGAGCAGCAAAGCTAAAATTGAAAATTTCTCTTAAAAATACAGCCTGTTGCCTCAAATTGGCTTTTTCCTGATTCTCTTTATTTTAGTTGACTGCGCTTGAATTACAGCTGTAATTGCAGCTAAAGAGTATTAACTCAGGGCAAATACAGGTCGCCATTTTCAGATGCAATATGTAAAAAAAGGATGTTTATTTAATTATGAACTACTTTGTCTTGGACTGTAACAAACAATCCCAATAAAGTACATTAAAGTTTTTTGAGTGAACATGAAAAAAAGTGGAAAAGTTCAAGTGTTGAAAATACTTTTGCAAGCCCCTGTATGTTGTGCTAAAGTGTCTTTTTTCACTGTACTAACCTCAATGGCCCGTTGCTGCATATATCATGTTTACAGCTACATCTGAAAACATTAGAATATGGAATAAAAGTGCAATAATTCTCACCAGTCATCTCTGAAAGTCAAACTTATATAGAATCATTACACATGTTTGAAGACGCTTTGCTTCCCATCCAGGAAGCTTTTTGAATTGAAATAGCTTCCTGGATGGGAAGCGAAACATCTTCAAACTTGGAAACGAATTCCAGTGGATTTTTTGGGGGGGAATTTATTATTGGCACTTAATGGTGTCGTGCCATAATCTGCTAATTGAGTCTTTAAACGGTCACTCACTCTGGGTCAGAAAACAGTCTTCAACAGCCATTAGCTTCATTTATATGGACATAAGAAACCAGAATAAATAGCTGATCAGAATAAAAACATGTTAGTCTGAATATTCTGATCAGTTTTAGTTGGACTGGAATTAAATTGTAATCCAACAGGAGGAGTGGTCTATAGTGGTGTATGCCGACTGAGAATCTGATCGCCATGCATGTAAGTGCTTGACAGGTGGCTAATCCCGCTGGCTTGCTATTTTCAGAATAGTCTTGTTTACGTCGCTTTTTTATTCTGATTAGCAGTTTGTCCCCCCCGCCAATAACTTAAGTCTATATAAATACAATCAGCTTATTTCTTGTTCTTTAATCTGTAAATTACATTTCAATCTGATTGTGAAATTTTGTGCATGCACACAAGGCTAGTTGGTTGTTCTGAGTTCTGAATATTGGCAGAAAATTTAGTGGAAGGACGAAGTATGGTTAGAAAAGTTGGAGAGGATTGTCAAACTAAATCTATTTAAGAATTTGGGTGAGCTTCCCCGAGTGGACCAGGGCATCAAGAGCCGTCACACATACAGAATACTGGGCACCATCTTCCATGGGCTAAGGAGAAATGGATCTGAACAGTTCTTCAATAGTGCAGAGTCCTGTTTTCATGGAGTTTATTCTGAATTTTATCTATAAATCAAGGTCACAAAGTGGAGAGGCACAGACTCCACTGTCAGTGATGCTGTGGCTGCTGCCATCTGCTGCTGTTGGTCCTCTGCGTTTTCTGCAGTCCACAGTCAATGCAGCCGCCTACTGGGGAAATTCTAGAGCACGTCATGCTTCCCTCTGCTGGCAAGCTGGACGGAGATGCTGGTTTTATTTTGTTTTTTTTTTCCCAGCAGGACCTGGTGCTGCACACACGGCCAGATACCAGAGGCTGGTTCAGTGAGCACAGTGCCCCGTTTTTTTTTTTTTGCCTGGCCTGCAAACCCTCCTACCCCCCCACCCTAAACAAAGTCTATGGACTGTTGTCAAAAGGAAGATGAGGCCCAGAATTTGTGGTTTTCTTTACCTCTAAGCTATTAATAATCAAAGTTACAACTAGTTAAAGCTTAAATATTTGACTCTGCGTAGTGAATCCCTGTAAAATAACAATAAAATAAAAACTTTCTGAAATGACTGGGTAAAAGAAATTACACGATAAAATATTCTTATTTTTTGAGATGGATCTGTTTTTTTGTTTGTTTTTTTGCTCACTCCTTCAATCTGTCAAACGCTTTGACAAGACCACAAAGGAATGAGGTTGTTTTTTTCCCCCTTTTTTTTAAAAATGTGTTAAAAAATGAGTTACTCCTGTGTGTAGATATTAGGTTGTGTTGGTAAAGCCCTTTTGGCTGTTTAGCAGCCCTTCATCTCAGCGTGGGAGGATTCACTACAATACAAACAGCTGTGTGCACAACAAACTAAAAGGATCCATTTACTCCTTCTATTCAATAAGGTGCAATTTCCATCACGCTGACTAGGGCTGCTCCAAGTGAGGCGAAACTAAATCTTACTCAGCTCTCTCAGGATCCACTTCACCACCTGCTAAACAAAACCATGGAGCACAGCCCAGAAAATCAGAGGAAAAGTTGCACATAAAAAACCCTACTGCATAATTCAAACACTGAATCCAAAATATCTCTTTGCAAGTAGAAAAAAAGGCAGTATCAGCAGAATAAAGTGTGAGTGGATGAAATGAGAAAATCCTGCTTAGATTAGTGATGCGGTAACCAGGTTTACTGAGCACCATCTAAGAGGACGTATGTTTGAAAACTTTGCAAGTTTTCAAGGAGACACCATCATCTAAATGGGTTCTACTATATAATCACATATAATTGCTTATAGATGCATTCATGCCACTTGTACTTGTTTACATGTTTTTATGTTACAACCACATATATAAATGTACTTTTGGGGGGTTTGTACGATCTCTGATCCACTCAATAGTGCTTAAGTTTGATGGAAAAAGTTTTTTTGTTGTTTTTTCTTTTATCTCACAAATCCAGATCTGGAAAAAATCTTTTAGCAGCTTGACTCAATATTTAAACCCATCTTATTTTTTACCTGTAATTTGCAAAATGAGTTGAGCTCAGCTATAAATGCTTCTGAGTTAGAGTTAAGTCTGGATTTAGGCTTATTTCAACTCATGAATGTGCTATAATCTAACCTATTCACTGTTTTAAGTTTGGGTTCATTGTGCTGCTGGATGTTAAACATCCTCTCCAGGTTATCCTTCCTCCATCATCACCACATTTGTGCCATACTGCTGCAATTTCTGGTTTATACAGCAATTGGTGAGATGTTCAAAGCTGCAGACATTCTTCTATAACCTAAACCAGCCTGAAACGTTGTCCATGTTCTCCTAAAACCTGTGAGGCCTCTATAGAAAAGATGCATTCATACAGAGATAACATCAACAAAGAGGAGGAATTTGTTTCTGATTAAAAGATGATTAATACAAATGCAGGCCACTATAATATAGATTGTTGTCTCATTTTGTTTTGTAAAAATATATATAGAAACAAACAGGAATCAAAGCTCCTGTATTTAAAAAAAGAGCTAATTTCTTCTTTCTTTTGAATAAAGTTTCTGTAAACTACATTGAAGTTGTGGCATAAAAAGATGAAAAGTTTAAGGAGGCACAATGAACTTAAAACAGTAAAAACTTTAAGGATAATTGGCTAATTTTGGATGAGCTAAAAAAGCTATTAAAAAAATGGTGAGAGAACGATGCTACTGAGCAGCAGAGTAAAAAAAAAAAAAAAGAAAGGAAACTCTTTGGATATTGCAGCCTGTGTGTAATGTGCTTTCTCCACTCTGAGAGATAAATGATCAAGTGTTGCCCTTTTCAGCATCCAGCACTTGGTTTACAGGCTGGTCTCTGAGATGAAACGAGAGGGAGGGAGTACCAACCTCTCATGCACTAGGCACACAGAAAGAAAGAACTCTGCTCACAGAATAAAACAAGAAAAGCACAGCAGCATTGCTGCCGGGATTTTGGAGAAAGTGTGTGAGGGTGTGAGAGTTTTCATTAAGATTTCACTGACTGGTCGCCTGTTTGTCTAAGCCGTCTAAGTTCCCCTGTTCATTCAAGTTCTACTTTATTTCTGCTCTCAGGCACGAGCTTTTGGAGGAGGCCAGGAGGAAAGGATTACCTTTCGCCCAGTGGGACGGCCCCACAGTTGTAGCCTGGTTGGAGGTAAACATTATCTTTTTAGGTAGAAAAGATCATGAACCATTTTCACACTTTTCTGAGGTCCTTTTTGACTGCTTATGCTAGGATAAAACATATAATGGTGTAAATATTGAGGAAATACCTTTTATTTGATCCTCAACTATCAGTGTTAAAGGGGACATTAACAGTTTGTTAAAATGTTTAAAAGGCTCATTGTCCACAGTCACTAATAAAACCAACTTCAAGCACATTTAGGATGTTCCATTGAATTAATCAGACTTTTTATTGTTGGTTAGTCCCTCCGAGTTTGGAGACACTGAAGTTGGTTCCAGTGTGTAACCGCTGTGCAAAAACCAGAAGGTATTTTTATGGTTGCAGAACTCCAGGCTGCTGCACAGCAGAAGTTCGTCATAGTTTCTCCTCTACTACCAATGCATGTAAAAGTAGAGGTCTGCAGCCATGAAAAGGATCTAAAAATCCTTAATAATACCTTTATAAATTAGCTTTAGATCGACATTACACAAGTTATAGAGAGAGGTGATGTTACACAGTTATTAGTTGTAGATATATTGTGTTTATTTACTTAAAGGGAATATTTTTGCTGTCAGGGCAGGAATTGGAGACGGTGAAATTTACTTGAACATAGATTACAATTGAAGATTGAAAATCTTTGCGAAAATTTTCAGATAGGAATGTGGAAGAGTAGTGTTTTATTCCGGTTACGGCTCTGAACGCAGACCAGGGGATATAAACGTCTCAGAAAATTCGACCATTACAATGATTGAATATTTCAAAGGGCAACTAATGGAGGGAAAATATTTTATAATGGAGATACTGTTTATTCCCTATGTGCTCATCTACGTTCGGTGAATAGATCCTTGCAGAGAATGTTTTCATTTATTTTTCCACTTGCCACGTAGCAGTTATTAAAACTGATATCTTCAGATCTTTTTCTATGCGGTTTAAGTTTAATTTTCAGAATAAAATTTGAAACTAAAGGAGAAGTAAACAACTTCTAGCTGTTAAATTCCCCTGCGTTCTTCATTCTTCTGCTTAGAGCACTGAAAAGATTAGGACTCATGGACTGAGCAGGCATCTTTCTGAACATAATTTAATGAGATATTGATTTAAAAAAGAATTTTATTAATGGCCTTCCTAAAAAGGGAAATGATTGACACTGTTTAAATACAGACTGCCCCCTACCTGTCAGTGGGCTTTATGCAGACAGCCTGCTCATGACCCCTCCAATCCTTCCATCACACCATGCCAGATAAGGATGGAGTAAATAGGATTATGGAGGCTGATGGTTAGATTTTTTTTTAGGCTGCTGATGATGCTTTTTTTTTTTTTTGCAAGCATTACACATTTTTGAAAACACAAGCTAGATCCCATCAGTCATTTGTAGAAACCCAGTGGTATGAAGCAGCATGCTGAGTCCTAAATGAAACATTTCAACGAATTGAGGACTATTATTAGAAAATGCATTAAATAAATAAATATGTGAAAGAAAAGCATCATTGAAAAAGAATCCCTTTGCTGTAAAACATTTTCCCCCTTTCTGGTTCTTCAAAAGTCTCTGCCATGTTTTAAAGGACTAAAATGACCTGGGTATTACAGCAGCTCCTAATTTTTTATCAAATATATAATAAGTTGAGATAAAACAGCTCAGTCAATCTTTTCCTATCATCTTTGCTTTCTCTGTATGCTGCAGTTATGGTTGGGAATGCCAGCCTGGTACGTGGCGGCGTGCCGTGCCAACGTGAAGAGCGGTGCTATCATGTCGGCCCTTTCTGACACCGAGATCCAGAGAGAGATCGGAATCAGCAATCCCCTGCACAGACTCAAACTTCGCCTGGCCATCCAGGAGATGGTCTCCCTCACCAGCCCCTCAGCCCCACCCACCACCAGAACCGTGAGTTATATCTGTAAATGAACTCTGAGTTGATTTAAATTTAGAAGAAAACTAATTTGATTAGGCAGAAATAGGAAATAATTTCAGATGTTAAGGTTTAAATTCCTTAAAGGATGAAGCCATTTCAACGGTTACCATTTCTCCCACTGAAGCAGCTCTGATTCTATTCAAACATTAAATACTTTACAAAAAAATCAGACATGATGCATTACTAACTAAATGCCGTCATGGTATTAGTATAAGGTCTGTGAGGATTTTTTAAAAATTAATCTGCAAAGCAGCAACACAAATACATTGGAGTTCCCTGTAAAAGAAGAAAGGAAAAAAGATTTAAAATGTATACTTTTTTCTAACCTTGCCACATTATTTGGTCATAAATGCTCCTATTAGTTGGCATGATGCCTTTGTGTGAGTCTCTGTCTAACATTTACTAGTATTCAAAAACAAAGATTACAATAGCAAACAGCATTCTGTACTTTATTATAGCAGTCAGTGCTGCCAGCATTGCTGAAACAGAAGTTTCTACATATATTCCAAAAGAATAGACTATAACTAGATAGACTAGAGATTGTCATTGGCTGCCAGCATTTCCACAGCCACTATATTTCATGACACAGCGAGGTTGAAAGCTCAGAAAGGTGTAACAAGACACTTTGACAGTGCAGCGTTTCTGTCATCCTCTGAAAGCCTTCCCCTCTTTCACTCAGCAGCCTGAATGAGCTGCAGACGTGTCTAGACCTGCTGTAGAAAACGGTATCCAATTAAATAGTCTCTCATATCTCTGAGCTTCCTTTAACGTCACTGCTAACCTCGCCGAAAATCCACCATCTTTAGATTTTTTTCTCCCTCCGCAACATCATCCACAGAAAAGAGTTTTGTCAGCAGAAGCTGATAATTCTAATATGGTGCATTTACTGCTTTAAAAAAAGGCTGGAATTTTGAGTTCTCACACAGGCAGGCAGCAGTCCAGCAAGAAAATCAGAGAAAATGCAAACTTAATGTATTTAAGTTGGAAATTTTGCATGCAACCCAATAACTAACCCCATAACTAGGACACCCTTTTGCCTGTTCTTTGTATCAGTTCTTTAATAACTATGATGGTACTCTTCCCTCATGTTCAGCCTTCCCATCTGATTGACCACTCAGCTCCAGACTACTTGAAAGTCTCCATATGCGAAATGTTTCATAGCTTTTGTTATTGTTTTAAGTAATTTACCCCATTTAAAAAAAGCAAATAATAAAGGTCAGATGTTTGTACACCTGTTAGAATTATGTTGCATCAGCAATAGATTTATTTATTTGCAGATTAAGGAGAACTGCAGGGAAAAAAAAGAGGTTGAGATCAGCCCTAGTTGACTCGTAAAGACTCATGTTTGGGGTGAAAATCCCGTCAACAGTAACTTGTATAAAAGTTGGGTTGAAACCACTAAACTGCAGAAGTATAAAGATGAGTGGGTGTTCTCCAAACACTTGTCTGCCCATTTATTCCCAATCCTCGCCACTTTCAGAGCCTCCTGTCATGGAAAATTGAAAGGCGCCATTTATTCCAACTTTATTCGATTTACCCCTCTAGTGAAATGAAATCCTAACAGATTGATTCCTCCTTATGACTCTGATTGCTGTCATTTCTAATGTGGCACTGGAGTAAAATGTCTTTCTGGGGAAATAGAGAAGTGAGGGATGAGTAACATGCGGTTTGTCTTTTGATGTAATGATCTTTGTTTTGCATGAAGGTTTGCTAATTTATGTTATTTAACTGTATGTCTGCATTGAGATGCTCTGTGCTGTCCCGGTTTTTTTTTTGTCCTTTACACATTTCCTTTGACCCCTGGTGGGTTTCATCATCTGACCGTGATGCTATAACACTATTGGCTTACAGTGGTGCTGCTCTTCTTCTTTAACACTGCTTGCCCCTCCTACTGGACCTCTACTACCAATCCTGCTCCTACTGCTCTGTCTCTTGGGCTCCGCCCGTTGTAGCCATCGGGCAACGTATGGGTGACCCATGAGGAGATGGAGACCCTGGCAGCTCCTTCCAAAACGGTCAGTCCCCATGTGTCCTAATACACCCATTTCTTCCCGCATCAGTGTGTTAGAGTTAACATCTCAGTGTACAGTAGAATGATGGTGATTGACACAGAAAGCATGCAATAGTTCAAGCCCCTCTTTATCTCTAGATGTAATTTTTAGCTTCAAGCATTTTGGTGCTGATTTTATCATTAGTTTGCTGTTAATTAGCTAGGGGAATTTTTAGAAATGAAACAAATATATTGGATGTTTTTGCTTAGAACAGAATTCAGAATTAATAAAAATGTAAGGATGAATTTCTTACTATGGGATCCTGTATTTAAAGAATTATACATGTGTTTTAGGTATTTTTCCAAAGTGTGCTTCTGAGCAACCAAATAGTTTTTTTTTTTAAATAACTTTGGAGCATTAGCTGCTTAGCTTTTTATCCATTTTCTGTCCAGTATTTGCACCTGATCATGGTCGAATGTGCAGTTTTGGTATAATATTAATGATAATAGTGTATAAATGAAATATGGGGCCTAACAGCTTTCTACGGCACATTAACAATAAAATAATTTCATTTTTATATTTTATCTTTGTCGTTTCTATAGATTCTAACTAAAATAGACAAAAACTGTCTTTTTGAGTGTTTGACTAAAGCCTGAATGAGTCATATGTCAGAGTCAAGTGATTTAGATGACATTCTTTTCAAAAAGAACCAATTAAAATCCCAAACAAACCTACAAATTTCAGGAAACTGACTTCTTTTAACATACTGTTGCAAGACCGATTATAATAGAATTACGTTGTGCTAAGAGTTGGACCCTATGCCGTGTTAAACGCATCATTTCATTCAGAATGCTTAACCATGTTCAGTGGCCCTTGCAACTTGGTGTAGTAAAAAATAAATATTTTAAATCTTTATCTCCACAGTCAGGGGGAAAAATTTACTGTGTTGTCAGCATAGATCTAGTAAAGTTTTACGGTCAAAATTATTGATATATAAAAAAAAAGTTAACTTCTTTAATAAATTCTATTTCACTTGCATAAGAGTTTTGAGACAAACTGTAAAGGCATTGTGGTGTTTTTTTAACCCTTTCAAATGCAGCTCACTCACCTGGGGTCCGTTTCACAAAATGGTGTTAAACCTCAAAAAAACTGGGAAACTGAGTTTTCCGTTTCCCAAAGAGACTTTACTCAACCTCTGTGCCTGTTACCGTAGTAACATTCTCCCTAAATTCAACCTGGTCAGCAGCAGGTTTTCCTAAATAATCTGTGTCCTCTTTCTCTACCCTCCTTTAAGACAATCAAGTTTTATTTCTATTGTAGTTTTGTACAAACAATAAAATAAAAAAATCTTCACTAGGTCTGTTACAGACATTAGGTGATAAAAATAGAAACATAGCATGTCCTTTAGACGAGGATCCAATTAAAGAAGGAGCAGCACTAATTTAGATGGAATTAAATGTCTATAGGGAGCCGGTTCTCAGTGTATAAATGTCCTTTTTAGATTCAGGTATCTTTCAGTGCTACAGTTTTACCTCACAATCCATCACATACATCCACGACCTTCTTGTCCTCACATTTCCAGTATTGATTTCTTTAATAACTATAAGTAATTAATATTTGTGAGAGCAAATTGATGTGTGATAACACATAAACGGCTGCACAGTCAGACAGCCACTAATTTACTGTGTTATGGTAGAAAATGAGGAAAAAGCATGAAATGCATAGGTCCCACTTGTAAACTATTTTTTTTACAGCAGTATAGATATTAATTAGTATTATCCATACCTGTAATAAATTTTTTCCTTGTCAAAGTAAACTTTTTAAACAAAATGGCATTCTTATCTAAAATTAAAATGTGAATGTCTGGAATTGGGTTTCAGATATCCATATTTCTATTATTACTGTTCATAATTTGTATTATTTTGATCAGAAAGAAACAGAGAGGAGGCTGCTTTTAATAAATGTTAAAACGGCCTGCCATAGTTGACTTCATATAAACTTGCACATTAACTCGAGCAACAATCTTCTTCTACTACATCTTCCTCTTTCTTCTGTCTTTCTAACACTTTCTCTAATATTTTTTTCATTTCTGCATTAAAGCTCTAGTTCCAGTGGTGTGACATACACACTTCCTGTTGCCTGTTGTCATGGTGACTGATAATGGCTTTTTAAGCACATGCTCAACTCTTAATTGATTTACTCAGTTGATTAAACTAACTCAGCAGCTTTTATAGAACTGAAAGCTTAGTCTCTGACCTTAGACTACATCAATTCAGAGTTTGTTAAACCTGCTTTGTGAAACGGACCCCTATATAACATTTTACTGCCTGAGTATATTCATGCCTACTGAAAAGGGGAAAAATATCAATTTAATAGAATAGATTTTAAACACTAAGATGTTGCAGTAACCCAACATTTGGCCGCTGGTTGAGGTGGTTAGTTTAAGGTTTGCATTTAAGCTCTACCTAAATGGATATCATTAAATAAATGCAGCATTTTTATTTTTTCTTCTTTTTGCTGGTGTTTTACCAGAAGTCGGATTCAGAAGAGGGGAGCTGGGCACAGGTATGGCCATAATCTGACGTCTATAAGTTGTTCAACAAAACCACAGCTGCGGTGCTTTTAATTTGCTAAGTGTGTTGCATCGTAGACACTCGCTTATGGAGACATGAACCATGAGTGGATAGGGAATGAGTGGCTGCCCAGCCTCGGACTACCTCAGTACCGCAGCTACTTCATGGAGTGCCTGGTGGACGCCCGCATGTTGGACCACCTTACCAAGAAGGACCTGAGGGTACACCTCAAAATGGTAGACAGCTTCCACAGGTACCTGACATCACTAACTGTGAGATACAAAAAGCTACATTCACAAAAAATACATTGGTTTTCATTGTTTCTTCAAAAACAACACACCCATAACATTTTTTTTCACATCTGTAACGAGACATGAAAATTAATTGCATACATTTTAATTGAAAATCAAACATCATTTTCCTTCTCCTGTACAATTTTGCTCTACATTGTTTGAAGAATTTTATTGGGAAAAGCACAACAGATTTAATTTGGTGTCTCAAAACAGAACAAGTTTACAGTATGGGATTATGTGTCTGAAGAAGCTCAACTATGACAGGAAGGAGTTGGAGAGACGCAGAGAACAAAGCCTGCATGAAATAAGAGGCAAGAAAAACTTTTGCAACATATCCTGTTATGATTTATAAAATTGTATTTTTGCTCATTTTACTTAATGATTTTCCTTCATGCAGATGTGCTGGTGTGGAGTAATGAGCGAGTCATCCGCTGGGTGCAGAGTATAGGCCTGAGGGATTACGCTAACATCCTACTGGAGAGTGGCGTGCATGGAGCTCTGGTTGCCCTGGATGACAACTTTGACTACAGCAGCCTGGCGCTGCTTCTCCAGATCCCCAACCAAAACACTCAGGTGCTTCACACTATTTGAAAAAAAACGTGTTTAATTCAATTACATAATTTTTCTACCAACAATATCAGTAAGAATTTATAATTAAATTCCCTTGCTACAGCATAAATGGTTATTTTTGTCAGCCCATTATTGATACTGATTTTATGAGCTAGTGGCTCAAAATCAGAACATGCAGATCTTCCAACTGTCCTTTTGGCATTCTGCCCTGTCAATTTTCACTCCTCATCTAAATGGCATGGATAATGTGTCAGCTGCCTCTGTCTCCATGCAGCTAAAAATAGCTGGAAGTGAAAATTAGCACGTGCTGTCATTGTTTTTTTTGTTTTTTTTTCTTTAGGCACGTCAGATTCTGGAGCGAGAGTACAATAATCTTCTGGCTCTAGGCACTGACAGGAGACTGGATGAGGTGAGCTATATTTAACATTCTGCAAAATTATTCACACCCCGTGAAAATATTTATACTCTTTCAGGTTACATTCCCAGACTTAATGTATTTTGATCTTTGAAAATAAATATTTCAGCAAGATTAGGCATTTAAGGTTGAACTATAAGTATCGGCACATGTGAACAGGATAAAACTTAAAACTGTAATATAAAAATGTAAACCACAATTAGCTTCTACGGCATTTTCTGTTATGAAAAGTAAAGGTCAGTGTTTTAGCTTCCTGGGCTTCTGCTTAAAACGACTGCAGCAAAGATTTTCACCCATGTGCTTGGCATAAGGAGCAGTGAGCTTATGTTGCGCTATAGGAGTTGCAGATGTCATTTTAGGATTAAGAGGAACATTAGCGCCCCCTTTAGGAACTCAGATTTGGACTTTTTACCTTATTAAACTAACTTTGTGGGTTTTTTTTAGGATTTTGTATGATAGACAAATAAAATAGTTCCTAATGTTGTAGTGAAAGAGGAAAAGTTACATGACTGTCATCTATTTTAGTTTTTTAAGTTTCCTTGTCGATGCAACTAGAACAAATAAGAGGGAGGTGGTTAGATGAGGAAAAAAATGTAACATGGAGTGAGTAAGGTTAAATAAACTTCTGATCACAGCATCATGCATTGGAGATGCTTTTTTTTTAATTAGGGACAAAGAAGCATGAATAGAATTAAACTTTATTATTACATTTTCACAAGTACAAAGCAATGAAATTCACTGTCTGCATTTAAGCCTCCTCATGGGGAGCATTGTAAGGTCTTGCTCAGGAACCCAGAACCTCTGGATTCCAAGCACAATGCCCTAACCATTAGGCCGCCACTCCGTAATTATGGACTAAGAAGTAATTTCTTTGAGAAAACCAATTAGAGGACTGAAAAACTAGAAACCAGGGATGTGGTTCATTTCTGAACTACAAAGCAATGCTTTAAAATAAAAGATCCCAGTTTACACTTGTAGCAAAACTTGCTCTTATTGCAATTCAAGGTTCAAGTATTTTGAAAGGTAGAGTAAGCCATACCCAAAATATCTTCAGCTATATTTGCTTAATAAAAAAGAAGACAGCAAAGCACAACTGTATGTAACAAGTTTTATTTTGACATAACCAAAAAGGGTTTCCCTCCCTGATACTTGCAGTCTGATAAACCGTGTCATTCATTTTTAAAAATGAATGACACCGGTCTAACATTGCTGCACGTCTCAAAGAGTCGGCTTTAATTGTGAGGTAGTAGATCTTTCCATTTAGCCTGGAGTTAATCAAAAGTCATTAAATGCATCGATTTCTACATTTTTTTGTGGAATAATCATAAGCTCTTTATCTTGGATTTTTATTAGGAAACTCAATGCATTCAAAATATTAATACATATTTTCTCTTGATTAGTGTGATGACAAAGATTTCCGGAGTCCGTCGTGGCGGAGGCAGTTCCCTCCCCGGGACGTCCACGGCATCAGCATGATGCCTGGATCTGCAGAAACTCTTCCGGCTGGGTTCCGTCTAACTACGACGTCCGGTCATTCCAGAAGACTGCCCCCTGATGGTAAGAGCCATCTATTCTCCTCTGTTGGGTTGGTTACTAATCTGGTCTATAAAATACAGCTGAAATAAGGACCTTTTATCAACCTGTTGAACAAGTAAATGGAAAAAAAAAACACCTGAAAGGAGTTTGAGCTGCTGGTTCATGTCAGCAGCGTTCTGACAGTGTTTCTTCTCTCTGACGGCTGCTCTGCAGTCCTCTTTGAGGTGCTGGATGACAGTCCTGACGACATGTATTTGGACTGGTTTCAAGGTCAGCTATGTCCAAGAGGTTCTGGGCTTGTCAGTGCTGCCGCCATACTAATTCTACGTGACCCCTTTCATATTGTCAACCACTGCCCTGCTGTTTTCTGTCCTTAAAATTCATCTTTCATAAAAGTTCCAAACTGTCATGAGGGGCTAGATTAACTTTATATCGTAACCCTTAAAGGAATGGTAGAGAAAAACCAAGGCGTTAGTGTAATGCAACTTACCTGAAGGTTTCTGTCCACCTTTAGTATGGAATAGTAAAAATGTCTTAAATTAAGTATATTTACCCTTAATTTGAGTAGGTAAATGAGATAGTTTGCCAATGGAATGAGTATTTTTACACTTAAAATTAGATAATATGCACTTGAAATAAGACAATGCAATTGTGTTTTCTTATCTTAAATGTAAATTGTTTTGTTCCATTGGCAAAACATCTCTTTTACCTCCTCAATCCAAGAACAAATGCACTTATTTTAAGAAATAATGACTTATCTAGATTTTTTCCAGTGTAAATGTTTTTCTCTTTTCCAATTTGTAGTCGTGAAAAAGGAAATACGTTTTGTTAAACCCCGATTTCCTGAACATGAGACAAGATCTAGTTAATATATGGGTCAGAACACATATTTTCCCAAACTTATTATAACTTTAACTTAACCTTTTAAAGTGTAAATATTGGAGCATATGAATACCACAGACAGATCAGGAGCTGGATTCAGGATTGTTTAATGTTGAAATATTGAGTGGTTCTAACACATTTCATAGAAACATCCAACAAGGTTATTTGTCGATATTGGAGGATTAATTAAGTAGGGCTCGAATGACAAACTTGTAGCGGGTCCGTTTCTGGCTGATATCCTTTAGTTCCTTCATCTCTAATCTCTGTGTGTGCTGGTTTGTAACACTCAAAATATTCATTTGTGGTTTCCATTCTTCCTGGTGTTATCTGTGGCTTTTTCCCCCGAGTGATCCAAAATTTGGTGGTAGATTTACTGTTTTTTCTCTCCCTGTGTCCACCTACAGTCGGACCGTCTGCAGTGCAGCGATTGGACAGCTCCACGGTGAGAACCTACTCCTGCTGAGAGGAGGAAGCAGGGGACCTTAAACTGTATGTAACAACAGTGTCTCGCTCAGCTGAATACAGGTTTTATAAGTAGCACTTAGAAAAAAGGGAAATGCTACAGAGTTCAACGAGTGCGTTGGGTTGAAATAGTGTTATGTGATACTTCCAGCTGATGCAAACGCTTGCAATTATACACAGAAGATGGTACAAGGTTGAGGCAGAAATTAATATTTAATGTTTTGTAAGAAAAGGACCTTTTCTAAAATTATGTTGGAAATAGTCACCAAGAGAAGTTGCATTTATTTATTTTTTACAACAAATTTTGGATAAAGCAGCTCTCTGCCATTGAACATGGCCCCAAGGCAGGCGTAGCTAAAGGACACTGTTGATTTTTAATCAGGACCGACAAATGCTAGCTGCTAATATAAAGAGAAAAATCCGGTTATCTGCAAATAATACGATTTGTTTTGTTAGTGAACTGCCTCTGGCCAACGACGAGCCCTGGCCCTCAATGTTTTGCCACGGTGGAAACAAATTTAAGTAATTAAGATTGTGGCAGGGTTTTGCCTACTCAGTCTGGGGGATGCTGCACAGTCCATACTATTGCAGCACCGGACTCCCAGAAAGAGCAGGTAAGACACTGGAGATCAAAGTATAGCAAGTTCATTTAAATAGAATTCTGTTTCCACCTGTCAGCAGAGGCAGATCATTAAGAAAATAGCGTCCGCTTTTCTCTCTACCTACTCTCCGTCTGAGCTTTAGGCAAGGCTGGTTGCTTTTCGAATGGCCTCTTTTCTTCCAGAATTAAACTATTAGCTTCCTCTCTGCAGCAGATCCTTCATGCAATCGAGATGTACGGTGGCTGACAGGTAAAAATGTGACTAAGAAGTCCAGTTCCTACTCTGCAGGGTTATAAACACATTTATTTCGGTCCTTGTTTCAAAATCTCAGGCTGATGAAGTTTGTTAGGGGGTTTTTAATCCAACCCTACGGTGGCTGACGGGTGTAAACGTTCTCTAGAACACTAGAGGGAGTCAAACAAAGAACCAACCATATAGGAAAAGAAATGTTCTTTTGTAAATGAAAGATTTCTTCCTTTGATTTTTATCAGTGGTGAGATTCATAGTCATTCCAAAAAAGTTAAAACAATCCACTGGACTTTGTTCCCATCCAGGAAACTTTTTCAATTCAAAATGTCAGAATTAGTGTTGGGTTCGAGGCTTTATAGAGTGGTCCAAAAAAAAACGTGTCTGCCCCTAAGGAATGGGCAGTCCTTTGGGTTCTTTGTTAGCCTGCAATACCTGATACTGGTCTATGTCTCTGAAAGAAGGGCAGTTGGGGGAAATTGTTGGCCTGGCTGAACGGCGAGATGTTCTGTTCCTCTGTATGGGGGTTGCGGTGATGGCAGGAAGGAATCAAATTTAACGCTGCATTGCAGCGGTAGAGATGATTCCTTCCTACCATCATACAGAGGACCAGAACATCTCCCCCTGTTGACCCCCCTATCAGTATCAGGTTTTGCAGGCTAACAAAGAACCCAAATTACTGCATGTTTTTTGGTTCACTCTATAAAGCCTTGAACTCGTGCTAATTCTGAATTGAAAAAGCTTCCTGGCTGGGAAACGAAACATCTTCAAACTTGAAAACTAAGTCCAGTGGATTGTTAACTTTTTTCGAATGACTATGATAAAAATTCTTATAACAAACAGGAAGTCATCTTTCATTTTAAAACGCATATTACAAAAAAATAAACATTCTTTTCTCGACTCCTAGTCTTCTAGAGAACGTTTATACCTGTCAGCCACCGTAGGGATGGATTTAAATTCCCCCTAACAATCTTCATCAGCCTGAAATGTGCTTGTAACTCTGCAGAGTAGGAAGTTGGGGGACAAATTCTGCTTTGCTCACAATGATCACCTGCAAAAAAACAAGCATGGACATTGGTGCTTAGTAGTTTAACTGAATAGGAATATTTTTTGCCTAATGCATAAAAACTGTCAACTGAACCTTAAAGGGGAACACCGTTCTTTTTACATTGGCCCCTTGATTTTATATTACATCGTGTTCTACTCACCCATTTGAGTTTTGTGTCATTTGGTTCTTTCATAGCCAAGTAACATCTTCCTATGGGCAATGAGTTGAAGGCAAACTAAACTGTTCATAATTTATTCTTTATGGTACGCCAGCATTCATAACATGTAGGCGAATCACTGTCCCCTAGACATCAGCGGTTATATTTTTTTAAACAAAGCGGAGTGTGTATGACGTCGCTTTGTTTTAAAAAAATATAACTGTGGATGTCTGGGAGACAGTGATTCGCCTACATGTTATGAATGATGGCGTACCATAAAGAATAAATTATGAACAGTTTAGTTTGCCTTCAACTCGTTGCCCATAGGAAGACCTTACTTGGCTATGAAAGAACCGAACAGCTCCAAATGACACAAAACTAATATGGGTGAGTAGAACATGATGTAATAACGTAAAATCAAGGGCCCAATGTAAAAAAAAAAAACAGCGTTACCCTTTAAGCACAACTAAAAACTTGCCAGGGTATCTTACCTTCTTTGTTCTGTCAGTATATAAACAGTCAAACGGAGCTTGAGACCAAAGCCAGCTAATGTTGCATCACAGGATTTCTAACTCAAATTAAGCAGCCTAAACAAAGCAAAGAAAGGTTGGTTTATGTCATTAGCACTGGTCACCGTTTTACATGAGGAGAAATAATCTGAAACAGCCAACCTCTTGTTTCTCCTTTCAGCTGCAGTTCTGAAAGAAAGGGGCCGATCTGCTGAGAAACAATCCGATGACTCGCACTGCCAAGAAGCCCTGCTTTCCTCTCTGATCCCCCCTCCATGATTTCTAACGCAGGCACCAGATGCCGGTGCTAAACTGTCCTGCAGGCCGCCTCGTTGTCACCATTTCTACCTTTTACATGTAAAGTAATTTGTCAGAGCATAATGTACTGTGTATTTCTTCTACAGGAGATGTGTAGGTTATCTGTAAATTCTTATAAATATGCCATTTTTAATATATAAACATCTATGTATAAAAAGATTAGGGGTTTGTGCAAAAAATGTCCCTGCCACCTCATTTAGCGGACCATAGATGAATATATGCTGCTCTTTAAACTCTCCATGTTCCTCTAGATCATTTTGTACATAAGGTTTTATTTTTTCATTGTGCTAATGAAAATTATGAAGAGGGTCTGCTGGATGTTGAGAAAATCTGCCCTCACAACTTATTTAAGGACTAATCATAGGATGGAGGATTTGTCAGCACACTGGAACAACATGACAAGCACTTTCATACAACTGCATCGACTCAGAAAACCTAGTAGCCAAGGACAAAACAAGAGACACAACTTTCACTAGGAAAACATTAAAAGCATCTGCAGAGCTGTTCCTTGTTAAAATGAACGTTTTGTGAGGCAGCACATCAACACAGACTACACTTACAGCCGAGCTGGCCTTTTACCCCGCCCCTCCTGTAAACCCAACAGATGAAATAATTGAAAGAGACTGCTTTAGCTCATAGTGTGTGTAGAGTGTTTATGAATATGTTGAAGTGAGGTGACCTAATGATTTAAAAAAGGAAAAAAAAAAAAAACCTGTTGCTTGCTGTGACTTCCATTTTGGTGTAAATGTTCAGGGTAACCTACTGTACAGCCCTGTTCTTTGTCTTTTTTTTCTGACGGACAGCAAACGTCTTACACATTTGTTTTTACATTTGCACGAATGAGGATTCATTTTGTTTCCTTTTTTTATTCTTGTACTTTGGTCAGAACTAAGTGGTGCGCACACAAGTTTTCATTGTCAATAAAAAAAGACGTTAGTGAGCTTTTGTTGCATTAGTTTTCATTAGAAATATGTAATCTGCAAAGGTTATAGTGCAATATGATTTTACATTAATGTAAACAATTTACAGCGTTATTTAAAAAAAAAAAACTCAGACTGGTATAAAATCAAAACATTGTTACGCAAAGATCCCCGACTAATACAATTTGTGTGGCTGAGCAGGATACCAGAAAATATTATTTTTTCTTAGGTATACTATTGGTACAGATTGCCGGTTCAAATATGAAAATGGAGAGCAAACTTATAACATTTTGTCTCTGTACTTATTGGTTTAATGATTCATTTAGCACCCCTGCACTGCAAAAAATGTAAATCTAAAGTCATTTGTTCTTGAATTGAGGAAATAAGTGAGGCTCTTTGCCAAATGGAACAAGATGATTTACATTTAAGAGAACTATTGCATTCTCTAATATCTTATTTACCTACTGAATTTGAGAGTTAATTCACCTAATTTAAGATGTTTTTGCAGTTTGATCAAATTGAAATAATTGCAACGTCCTGTTGACTTTTTTGGGAGAAATATCAGCGATGTTTTATCAGAGCACAGTAAACGATTCTGATTCATCAATAAAGCGTGGTCATTTCTGTATAGTCAGCAGATATTAAGGGGAAAACTGGCAGTATTTTTATTTCAGCACCTTAGCTTTTTCTCACAAACTTTAAAGAAAAGCAGTTAAACTCAAAGGTTGTCTTGGTCTGATCAGAAGTCAGATTAAATAAATATTGGCTAGCCCATAATATCAATTAATAGAGAAAACCGGCGTCATATGGGTTACTGGTATAAATACTAAATCACATCTAGCTAAGCTTTTCCAAAACATTCTGCTGATAATTGGCTAGAATAAAGATTAAGATTTGTACTGTACAGCTTGGTTTAACTTCTTATTAGTACAATAGAAATACTTTTACATGTAAAAACTACATTTGAATAGACTTTTACAAAGCTGCTGCAAAGATAACGGATAGAAGTTTAACACCTGCAATCCCTTAACATGAAAAAGGGACGGATGAAGTGACTTTCTGAGAACTTTGTCCACCCAACGAACAGTTTTGGAAATTAAAATATTAACTAGACTGTATGCGATTTTATCCTTACAAAAATTATACTTGTTGGGCGCCATAGACGGAAATTTATAAAAATAACTTTCTGCATGAATTTCAACTAAAACTTATGTTAGTTTAAGGGCAACTTGGTTAACCTTTGAGCCAAGGATAATTTACTATTACATACTACAAAGTAGACATCAATTGGTTTCGTCAAAATCTGATGTTTCTATTGGGAATATTTAAGACTAGGATTACAGACCAGATTAAATATTTAGAACTAAATACTGTAGATCAACCTTTTTATTAGTTAGGAAATTACATTTACTGTCAAATTTCCCCTTGTAGTCCAGCTCAGCGTTTACCAGTATCAACTAAAATGTGGTCCTTTATTATAAGAAACAAGGAATTTAAAGCGAAACTAAAAAACGCCTTCCTAATACCGGCTAATCACTTCTTAAGGACAAGCAGGATTATTTTTTAGTATGTAATATATAAACGCGTAAAGGCACACATTTGTTTTAGTCAGGGGTGTTAAAGGAATTATTTCTCTAAAACGTTCACATTCATTTCACTAAGCTATGTTAACGGAGTAATACTGTGGTCCAGTTTTCTTTGTGTTCAAGCTGAATGTCGTCTCAGAACTTTTTCTACTTGCCTCTCAATGTCTTTAAACACTTCTGGATCCTCAATGGTTGGAGTGACCTGTGAAGGGAAATATTTACAGAGTGAAAATCTGAAGCAGCATTCATTGAATCTTTAGTCTCTATTTTCTAGGACATAAAAACATTTCCAGTTGACCTGTAAATGCATCCTACCTTGTAGGGTTTGCCGTTGATCAGGTTGGCCAAAGAAGAGCGAGGGATTTTTCCGGAACGCGTTTTCGGTAACCCGTGGACAAAGAGCACATTCCTAAAGGCGGCCACAGGCCCGATGTTGTCTCTTACAAGCTTAACAACCTCCTTTATGATTTCTTCCTTGGTTTTCTGCACACCTGAGGCAAAAAAATAATAATTTTGCAAAATGTTAAAGTTTAAACTGGGTTAACTCTTTTTATTTTCAAGTCTGAATCAGCCAAGACCATCATGCATCAATATATGGTGCAGAGCAGGTTCTTCAGCACACAAAGCACTTTGGACATAGCCCAAAGTTTGCCAGTCATCTAACCAGCACAACATCTTTCACATTTATTGTGACTCCTACTGCATATGGCTTGTGACAAACAGGCCTTCATCTTGCTTTTTGCCATTTTCCCCAAAAAGCCCTAATTATTGAAGTTCACAGAGCTGTGGATATCTGGAACCCATCCCCTTCTGTAATCTAAATTGTGTAACCTTTACAGGAATCTATATCACTCACCTAGCTTAAGTACACACAGCGCCAAAGGAACGTGGCCCTTCAGAGAGTCCTCGAGGCCCACCACAGCACAGTCTGCCACGGCGGAGTGCAGAAGCACCGACTGGAGGAAACAAAAACGTCCTTTTAATTAAAGGGAGGAGTGGCGGCGTAGTGGTTAGAGCATAGGGCTTGGAATCCTGAAGTTCTGAGTTCCAGCCCAACTCCCACAGCCTGCAACTCTGGCTCTCTGAGCAAAGACCCACAACCCCACACTGCTCCCTGGGCACCGCACAATGGCAGCCCACTGCTCCTCAAGGTGATGGGTTAAACGCAGAGGTACATTTCTCCAATGTGAGATTAATAAAAAAAATCAATTAACAATTATTATTACTAGAAACTAATATAAGACAAAATAACCGTCATTACAAATCCATGCAATGATGATCCTACCTCTTCTAGAGCTCCAGCAGACAACCTGTGGCCAGCCACGTTGATGACATCATCAGACCGGGACATAATGTAAAGGAAACCTTCCTCATCCAAAAATCCAGCATCCATTGTGTCATAGTATCCCTAGGAGAGATATTAAAAGTAAAGGTGTTCAGATCAATTTACATGTCTACATTTTTCATATATAAATATATAAATGTAAAAAAGAAAGAATGTTTCATTAAAGCATCCTAGAAAAATTAGGTCATGTAAATTTAGCAGTTTATTCTGCAATATCAAATTTAAACACTAGAGGTCTACCTTTTTCCACCAAAGGAGTCAGCCTTTTTACTAAAACTTTATAAAACCGGAACTGACTACATCATAAAGAACAACTAATCCAGTTATTAAAGCAACAAAGAAATTACCGGGAACTTGGAGAAGTAGAGCTCCTTGAACAGATCCTTGTTTTGCCACAGGGACAGAGCAGCTCCAGGTGGTAAAGGTAATCTATAGGGGAAAAAGGCAGAAATAAACAAGCTGTGAAAAAATAAAAGACCAAATGTCTCACTGCCTCTAATTGGGCTCCGAGCAGCTTCAAAATATATAATCAGTGTTTTTGAACAATTTGAATAAAAGTGTGTCTTTATCATTCCTTGCAGTTCCTCTTGATATGCAGCCAAGCTATGCTGGACCTTACCCGACCCGGTGACAGGCACCCAAACAAACAAAAAGTGCAGGAAGGAAAGGTCAGGAAGTCATTGTTTACAGAGACTACAAGTAATCCCTCCTCTTAGCCAGTTTCCTCCATGTCCTGATCCCTAAATCCCACATTGCAGAAAAAGAGTTCAAACTTTTCTGTTCTCCTTTTTAGTTCAGATTAAAAGATTGGTGTATATAAAACACAGCATGATAAAGATGTTGAAATAACTTTATGAATATAGAAGTTAGCAGTTTTGGATGGAGGATGCATTTCATGCGCTCATCTTTCTGTAGCTTTACGAGGGGCATTCAATAAGTAGTGCCACTGACACACTTCCAGATGTTTGATCCAGCTGAAATTTTGCATGTGAAGTTATTTAAATCTCTATAGATTAAGTAACAAATCACAGCTCTGAACTATTTGTGGTTTCTGACTTACAGGTGTTTGAAATGGAGCCTGCTGAGTGTGGAGCAGTGATCTGTTTTTTCTATGCGAAAAGAATCACACCACGGGAGACTTTTGATGAAATTAAAGTAATTTATGGTGATGATGCCCATTATATGACCTTGCAAAATGTTTTACAGAGTTATATTGTGGGACATTATCACTATAAGTAACTTTCATTTGATCAAACGTCTCCCGTTGTGTGCGTCCTTTTAAATGCAAAAACATAGACTTCTCTCAGTTTGAACACCTGTTAATCAGAAACCATAATTAGTTCAGAGCTGTAATTTGCAATTTAATCAATATTTCACATGAAAAATTACAGGTTCGTCAAACATCTGGAAGTGGGTCAGGGGCATTACTTATTGAACGCCCCATCGTATATCAACTAACTATCAAAAGATAAAGAAGTGAGGAGTTGTAATAGATTTAAACATGTCCACCTCAAGCTGTTTTTCTAGAGCAGCAGATCCAGTTTGTGAATGAAATAGAAGAAATGGTCCAGGTTTCCTCCTAAGACCAGGAGGAACAATAACACAGCTGTTCCTGCCCGTCTTAAGAGCTCAAACTCTGTCACTCTATGCGCCGCATATTGGAAATCCCCCCTCAGCAGCACTCGGTCATTACCAGCATTTTTAAAAAGTGCAGGGGAGTGGAGTGGAGGGTGATAACAGACAGGGAGCAGGCTGGCACTGAGAGCAGCACACAAAGCTCTGCTACTTTCTGTGAAATTCGCTTAGAAAATCTGTCAGAAAAAAAATGTCCATTACCAGCTCTCTGCTTTCAGAGAGACTAACCGGTAAAGTCAAACATGTGCTGCTCGTTCATGTCTGTTGAGCTGCTTTTCTGCAAACATGAAAGTTTCTGCACGTGTGTGAGTTTTTAAAGAAAAGCAAAAGATGTCTAATGTCGGCTTGGCTTACCTGACCACAATATTTCCCAGAGTTCTTGGCCTCACATCTTGCATGTCATCATCGATTACAGTAACTGCAAGAAAACAAGGTGATCAGTCGGTTTCTTTTCAGCCTCCGTGTTCAAACTGGCCAACTAAACATGTTGAGAATTAAAACACACACATATATATATATATATGTATATATATATAGAGATAGATATCTATATATATCTCTCTATCGATCGACCGATACTTTTTTTTTTTTTTTTTTTTAAACACCCCATTGGTTATTAAGTTACCAGAACCACATAAACATAAAACAAAGTTCTTAATAGATTTATTAAATTTTAAAACAATGGCAGAGAGTTTAAGGTTCTGAGGTTTTTCCCTTTAAAAGACATCAAGGTGGATGGAGAAACGAAAAGGTAACGAGTGATGGACAGATGGAGGGATGGATGTGCTGAATAATAGATGAATAGCCTGGTACATTTCTTACCGTTGTAACCTGGGACTGGTTTCCCAGCCTGGCCTGCAGGTGGCGTGAGCGAGTTACCCAGGCCGATACAAGAGGAAGTGATGGCTGAACCAGTTTCTGAAGAGAAACACAAAATATACAATCTCATTCAAATTCAGAAAGCACAGATAAAAGGCTGATCAAACGCTTTCAATCCCAGTTTCAGAAAACAGCTTTTTAGTTTTAGTGTCCAATTTGCATTCACTAAATCCCTTTAATGTTAAGCTGATCCAAGGAAAACGTCCAGAGCCCTGTTGCTTCTGTGAGCAGCTTTAACCTACATAACAAAACCATGACAGCTCCTGTGGGCTCTTCCCGACACCACAGATCCATGCTCCAGTTACTGCACAGACTCGGCTGGCAGGTCTGCTCGCCCACCCAGCAAAGGCATAACAGAATCAATCCAGCTCAGCATGGGAGATTACATCAGGTACAGCAGCTGAGTGGGCCAGCATCTGTCTTTGGTGCTAAATGCAAAACCTAAGATCAGTGGAAAGATAGTCCTCCCTTTCTCTCAATGTTGGTGCATAAATTTACAGCATATATGGAAGAACAAGCAGAATGATTTTCTTTATTTTCTGAACAAATCATTTCCAAACTTCAGCTCCTGTTACACAAAATACAATATCAAGCTTCATTATTCTAGCCTTATGTGGTATTTAAACAGATATGAACTTGGCATGTATCAGCTGCTACTGGACTGTGTCCATCTGATAAGGAAACATCTTTGGTGTAAATATGAAGCTACACTTCATCAGTCATGTAATCAAGTTCACATAACATTAAATCACACGACCAATCCTGCAACGTGTTTTACATTAACATAAAGATGTCATGCTGGATTGTTCACTGAAAGGGCAAAAGCTAATATGGCAACCCTTAAGCTTTTACATCACAATGCAAAGGTCATCTCAGTCAATACAGCAACGTGTAAAATACCAGCAACAAAGTCATTTACTGGGCTTGAAACATTGGACTTCTTGGAATATTTAAAAACAAAGTTGTTGTTTTTTTTTTATAAAACTAACATTTCACATCAAGTCTGATAATTTAGAATCAAACCAAGACAACCTGAGTGAATACAGAATTCATGTTCTATTTATAGGTTATCTACAATAACCTTTCTATGTGTGACGAAGGGAGTTCAAGGCAAAAACAGTGCTGTAAAAGAGAAGACAAAGGCCAGTCTTATCTATCCAGGACTGTTACTTTAATTAAAAGTAACAAAGATTCTACTCTCTACTTTGCAAAATGTTTGGCAAGGATTTTTCAATTTAATTCAATTCAGTCTATTTATAGCACCAATTCACAACATATGTCATCTCAAGGGACTTTACAGTTCACCGGATGCTACAGTCAAATTGATTAAAAGTTTTTTATTTAAGGAAAACCAGTTGATTTCATCGACTCAAAGGCAATCCCTGACACTAAGCATGCTTGTAGCGACAGTGGAGAGGAAAAACTCCCTTTTAACAGGAACAAACCTCCAGCAGAACCAGGCTCAGTGTGAGCGACCATCTGCAGAGGCCGACCTTGTGACCTACAGCGGGATAATGATCATAGCATCAAATCCACTTATGATTGGCTAAAGAACAAGGAAGCCATTTTTCCTTGTACAGCTTCCAAACGTAATCCCCATCAGTTCCCCTTCAATCCCCGTACACAGAAAGCTTAAAAAAGGCCAGATAACAGAGACTGATGTAATAGACCGAATCAATATTATGCAAGAAGAGCAGAACAGTATCATGTTTCACTTGTAGCATTTAGTTGTTGCTGCCAATGATAGTCTATTAATTTCAGGGCGCATTTTCATTGATGACCGACTTCATTAACAGCCCTTCTTGTATTTATGCTATCCATCATGTTATATTAAATGTTTAAAAAAACAGAAGCATTTCGGTAAATAAATCAAAAATAAAAAAGAAATCTGGGAAAAATACTTTCTACAGTACATCAATAAAGCCTGTAAAACCTAAAAGAAGAAAACAATGTTAAACAGTTGGGCTAAACCTCACAGGGAGTTTAAAGAAACATGATTTTGAATACAGATACAGGATATGGGATCAGACATCAAGGAACATCTTGGGAATCTGTACTAGGGAAGAAGTCATAAAATCCAAGAGTTTCACCTTTTTACAAAAGTGGGAAAAAGTAATAATCCTCCAGCAGGCGGAAATCAAATGAAAGCAAAGATTCTTCAGCTTCATGTCAGCAGGTTCCAAAAACTGTATTTTAAAAACTATTGATGAGAAAATTGAGGAAAGGAAGTGTCAGTTTAGAAAAGAGATATCCCAGATTGATGGATACAGTATTTTTGATTGATAAACGTCGAATCCCGAGCAGTCATAAAAAAAATTGTGTTTTCCAGATAAGTACGGAATTATTTCTGCTTTTCTTTCATTCCTGTGTAAACTCCCAGCCATCGGGGTCATGGTGACCAAAAAAACAGGCTTAAATCTGAGGCAACTGGAATTTTGCTCAGTTTTTATATAGACATTTTGACATCCATCAAGAAGTCACATATGAAATTTACCTAAACATAACATACAAGAGAATTTTAAAACTAACAACCAACTCAGACAAAAACTAGTTAATCCCAAGGACAGAACACCCAAAGCTTGTTTATGTGGTCCAGTAAAGAAGGACTGAATTCATACAGGGGTTACCAAACACATGGTGCAGCACAGGAGAGCCAGTGGCTCTGTGCAAGATCAAGCTCTACACTGGCACTTCAAGAACAGAGGATGCATATTTTATGATAATGTTCAGATTTTGGACAGAGAGGGCAGTCAGTTTGAAAGAGGGGTGAGGGAAGCCCTCTTTGGTAAAATGGAAAAGCCAACACACAAAAAAAGGGTGATGATTGCAGTTTCATTTTCTAAGCACTTAAAATTAGATCATGGAACCTGTTCAAAAGAAAATAAAAAAAGGTATCACGTTCATTTAAATGACAACAGCCCATACGCAACAAATGAATTCAACAACATAGGAGAATGACGGGTGGGTGTTTTATTTGTGTCTGACTTGGACTGTGATAGGAGGTGCTGCAAGAAACATCAATGCTGAAATTGCAAATTTTATCATTATTTCTTTATTCACTCCAAAAATTAAATAAAAAAGCAATACAACTGAATAAAACCCGGTCATCAACTCACTCTGAAAAACAAGTAAATAGGAGATATCTTAAAAAATGAAAACTCAGGTAAAAGAGACTGCAAATATGCCATCATCTCAACAGTCAAAAACCCACAGAGCCATCTGAACAGGATGACAATGTTTCCTATGATGAGGGGTTTGTAAGTTAACGTCACATCAAACGATTTGATTGATCATCACCAGTTTGAGTAACAACACTTCCCAAGTTTGCACCCATTTTGATGCCAACAAATAACTTTTCAAACAATGCCATGATTGAACACAGAAAAACCCTAAAGTCTTTGGGAAAATAGGTTTTCCAAAATTTTTTAATTGCGCTTTCTAAATAAGCAATATATCGATGCACCTATACCAGTATTCTACTCAATCTTGTAAAATGCTTAAATTCTACCTGATGTGCAACATGTATTTACGGTCGTATTAAATTTTAAATCCTACCATTATCATGTCAGTTTATGTTTCTGATTATGATCATTTGTGGCCTGGAGATGTTGGTAAGATATCACCACAGTGACATTAGGCAAACCAAGCAGCTGCATGCACAGCAGCTTCCTGGATCTTATACTGCAGGGCATATAAGCAAGTCATCAAGAAAATGCTGAGCAGATGGAATTTAAAGTAAATTCACGTCATAGGACAATGTGCATTCCCAGTATGGGCGGCATTGTGCTCAGTCTTAAGCTGGTTGTGAATGATAGTCCCCTCACAGCATTGTATAATGAAATGGCTACCAGGAGGAAGATACTGGGCCTTTTTAAGCACTTTGAAGTTCTCTAGAACTGCTCGTGTTTTACATTTCTTTACATTAAAGCGATCTTAACTGGCTTTTTTAATTCCCTGATGGTCTAGAGCAGGGGTAACCAATTAAACGGGGTCCGAATAAAGAAAATGAACAACCAGTAAAGGTTTGGAGACATTTTTAATTAGAATCTGTTACTTTAAACAGAATTTAACACTGAAATAAAATGCAGGTGTTTATGCATCCATCTTATATACTGATCTTTTAAATGAGAAAAAGAAGAAAATATTTAACAACAATCTGTCAGTTTGGTATATAGACAAAATCCTGATTCACATCTTTTATAAACACCTGAACTGACCATTATTTTATTTTTTTTCTGGCTTAATGTTCGCAGTGAGCTTTAGGCTGCCCTGCAAGACTTTAAACCTGGGTTTAAATGGAGACTAAGCCATTCTCAAGCACATATCAAGGTGCTCATTTTGAGCCTGGATCCAGATTTATTTTTGATTCTGTTCATGGTGGAGAATCTTGCTTCACAGCAGCAGGTTGAGACAAACATCCTCTACAGTAAATGTGCAAGGTCATCTTTGAGCACGCCATTTCACTTTTCTTTCACCAGTTCACCGCAGTTCTTCCAGCAGTCCACACTTTCTCTGCTCTCTTTTTCTCATTGTCTTCTCCTTTCCCATCACCCGGCTTGCCACAGGTTTGCCTGCTGTGTCTAAAAGAGTACAGTAGCTAGCAGCAGCAACCCAGACTGACAGCTCATTGGCTAACTTAGATTACATGCAGCCTGTTCCCGGGCGCTCTGGAGGGGTTTACCATATTAACAGAAGAAGCGGCACAAATGAAGTAAGACACTGTCATCAGGCAACATGCAGTCATTTATAAATGTTTAAAATCAGGTTGGGTCCGGATCCGGACCACGGTACTCTAATTTGTGAGCTCTGGTCTGTTGTGTTAAATTATATACTATAAAAATGTTAGTCTTTACAGACTCATGTTAATTTCTTAAATGACAAATCTGTATGGGTGGCATGCAATCTTTACGACTCCTTGTCAGAAAATGCCTGAATATTGGAAAAAATATGCAATAATCTATAAAAGCAATATCGCAGTGCGCTACAGCAGCTCCATAAGTGGGACCGCAGACACCTGCAGATATTGGTAAAGACCACCA